ATATATTTGTTAGAACATACACGTGAACTTTCTTTGTTAGTTCTAAAGAAACAGTTTTGAATTTTATCTATTATCATCATACCTTCGATGAAATGGTTATTTCGAATGGCGCCCATGTGCCCGTCTTCCGAAGTACTTTATTAAACTCTTTTCGTGAAACAATCATATATTATTATTTAGGAAATCATACATATAAAATTAGGGTTTCACTCTCCCATAATTGGTCCATTTGGCAATTCACTTTTTCAAAAAAAATTATAATAATATTTATATCTTCCTAAACCACAAATACAACACATTTATTCATATACATTAATATACCATTTAATACCAAATTGTAACCATCATACAAATTGTGTATTAATTGTATATTTCCCCACTCAATGTCATTCAAACACACTATAAATTCAAATTGTAACTCCTATAATTTTATTACTATTAAAATGTAACTTCCATCACTTTCTATACTATAAATAATCATTCTCACATCTTCTTCCACCATATCTCAAATCCTAAATATTTTCTTTGTTTTTGTGTTGTTGCATGAGTTGAAAAATCAATTGAAACATCATTGTAAAGGTTTGATTATAAATTTTGTTTTTAGAGACTATATGGTATATATTTTACATTGTTTTCAATTATATTTTTATTCTCATGTCTTACTTGAATATACTTATTCTTTCTTTAATTTTCATATTTTTAGTTCAAAACTACAAATGTATAATAATAAATTTGATGGCTATAATTTCTGATTTTAATTCAAAATTACATACTTTGAAGATTTAACAATGAAGTTTTCAAATATCAAATCAACCATTGCACAAGAAGAAAATCAAGTTGAGAAGATCCATCTCTATTTTCTACAATAAATAAATTATTGTAATATCAAATAATATTTTTGCTAAATTTCTTACATACTTCTTTCTTATCTCAAATAATGTTTTTTTTTTTTTTTTTTTTTTTTTTTTTTTTTGGGCGAAATCTCAAATAATGTTTTGTATTATTTTTAATATACTCATCAGATTAATTTTTGTGATCCAATCAATAATTATATAAAAATCATTAACTAAAATGTTTATTCTCTTCAAAGCTTGTGGTTTAAGTTAATTTCTAAAATAAAAGAATTTATTTACAAAATTTTATAATCCAACCTAGCAATTTAAATCATATAAATATTTAAATTGAGTTGAATATAAAATATATTTGACATAAATATCTTATTGTTGTATAATTAAAATAAATAATAGTCTAACAACATTTTCTGTATATCTAGAAAATACATTATATGACTTTCACTCTCTGCTTTTTTAATATTTTCAAATATTTAATATTATGATATAATACTATCTATTATTAACTCACATTTAACTTTATACGTAATTTGCATACAAAATAATTATAAGAACATCAAAACCCCACTAAAATACATTTATTACTTGACTAAAATCATTGACCATAATTTTTAGTTTGAATGGTTTTCCTACTAATTTTAAAAAAAAAAACTGTAACTCCCTAAATGTATTTATTTTCTAAAAATAACTTTCAACACTCATCATCCTACAAATAATCTTTCCTTCATTTTCCTCCACCAACATCTCAAAATTTTAATATATGAATAATGATCTAACATATATATATTATTTATTTATTCAAGGTTTGTGGTTAATAATATCATTATTATTTTAATTTGAATTAAAATGGTTTAATAATCTTAACTAGTAGTAAAAAATTTATAAAGGTGAAATATCTAAAAAAATTTTTATCAATATAACTTGAATTGCGTGAGATAATGAGAAAGAAAGAAAATAGTCTAAAACTATTCTCCAAATATTATATATATATATATATAGTTTTTACTCAAAAATTATTTAACTTTTTATTATTGTAAATCAATCAAACGAGTTTTACATGAACAAACGAACAAAAAGTTTAAATACCATATTAATATATATATATATATATGTAATTTTATTCCTATTTATAATTAAATTTAGTCCAATCATTTGATTGTTTACACTACTATTAAAATCTATACAAAAACAACAATAAGTCACAATGGGAGCTGCCAACCTCCGTAGAAGCCTATCTCCGCTACATGCCGAATTCGAGGCCCTCCTTTGGGCGATGAAGTGTATGATTGGTGCAGATAATCAAGAGGTAGCATTCCTTACAGACTGTTCTGACCTGGTGAAGATGGTGTCTTCCCCAACCGAATGGCCGGCCTTCTCAGTGTATCTGGAGGAATTTCAGAGCGACAAGGAAGAGTTCTCTACCTTCTCTTTATCTTTAATTTCTCGTTGTGCAAATGCAAAAGCGGATAATCTGGCACGAAAAATTCGTACGGAACCGCTTCATATCACTTATGTAAACAACATTCCACAAGAATGGCTCTTTTGAGTAATATTTAATTACAGATGACAAAAAAAAAAAAAAACAACAATAAGTCACGCGTAGCGTGGCTACATATACCTAGTACATAATAGAAATAACATCGATTTTTGTAAGTTATAATATTAAAATACTATTAAAGATAAAAAAAATTTAGACTAAATTAATTCATCGTATTAAAGATAAACAAGTGAAATATAAATTTTGTAATTTAAATTAAATTTAGAAACGAAAATTTATACATTTATTTTTTTAAATGTATAATTTTATATATTGCGATGCCCATCTCCTCTATTTTGGAGACATACATCGGAGCAAAATAATTCTAAAATAGAATTGCTTCTAAAAAAAAAAAATAGAAGTGGACATTAAAGATGGTATAAGACCTCCAACTGACACGATCTTTCACGCACTTTGGAATGCCTTTGCATCCAAAAGTGCATCTCTTCGTCCATTTTCAAGCTCCATTCAAATGAGGTGTTCTCAAAAACAAAAATAAACAAAAACAAACGAAAAAAATGCAAAACAACCTTGGACTCCAAATCCATTAAGACTCACTAATACTCGAAGTACAAAATAACACAAATATAAAAAGAAAAAAAAATCACCAAGAAAATGGTGAAATCAAGAGAGTCAAAGTGGTAAAATCTATGAATATCAAATATGAGTGATTATATCATGTCCTATTATGTTCTAGTAAGAGTAAAAGATCCCGCCGAGAATCCGTCTGGACCCAAAGCAATCAAATTTGGTTCTTTTTAGACACTATTTTTTTTTAAGTAAATAACTGAAAATACAAATCGTGATCAAAGTTATCACTTTATCACAGCGATAATTGAAGTACATGATACCTAAATATTAATTTCTACCAAACTCTACTATAATAACAAATTATTTATTTATAACAAAACCCATCACGATTCAATTATAAAGCACAAACTTTAATATGAAATGAACAGAGGAATCTTCCTCATCCAACTAACTACCGAACAACTTATTCATGTCAAAGATCTTGAGAAATTAACTTTAAATTCTACTATTTCTACTTCCTACTTTTTCACCTTTTTAGTATTAAAATATGCAATATTATTTAATTACAACCTTTTAATATTTTTAAAAATTCACCTAAAAAAGTAAAACTTGAATCTAGTTATTTTTAAGTTAATGGATCAAACTTGTTGGACCCCACACTTCACTTGATCTGCAGTTTTTTTTGGGTATGAAATTGTATATGCTAATCTAAAACGTAAGAAGATATACAAGATAAATCATTTTAAATTTATGTTCTTTATAATTAGTTGAAAATGAACTCAACCGTTATCACCTTTTTTACGGAATTGTATTTAATACTCCCTCCGTTTCATAAAGAGTGTCGTTTTAAGGTTTTATTTTTGTTTTACAAAGAATGTCGTTTTAGGTTTTCAATGCAAAATTTAATGATTTTTTATGTTTTATGACTATTAGTACTCTGCAGATTATTTTACTATTGGGCAGATTATGTTTAGGTATATAGTTAATGATGTTTTTGTTTAGAAAAAACAAAAAATTTAATGTTTTCTTAATTTGTGTGCAAAACTCTAAAATGACACTCTTTGTGAAACAGAGGGAGTACATATTACCAATTTGTAGAAAAATAGTACTAAAAAACTCTTATTATCATTTGGAAACATATGTGGAATTTTTTTTGTCTAGTAGTTATCAAAAGATTTAATGGTTCTACACCAGATTCGAATCCCGTGTATTATCGCATTTCTAATTTAGTCTTCTATTAGTATTTCTACAATGTATGATCAATGATTTCGTTGTAAAACCTTGTGGTTTGTTGGATTAGATGAGTTATGTTGACTGACACTCGACATTTGGTTGTAATATCTGTTTTTTTAATTTCGTTTATGACAAGTTTATAGTTTAGGACCTTCAGGTTAAGCTTTTTTTTTTTTTTTTGTAACATTTCATAGTTCATTTTAAATAACATTAGGTGAATATCTACAATAGGCCGCACTCTTTAAAAAAAAAAATCAATAAATTAGGAAATAAATACAATTATATTCAAATAGATTATTTGTCAAGACTTCCTACGATAATGAGATATTCAAGATCGAGACTCTGTTTATTATTCAAAAAAGAAGAACAGAAAGACAATATTTGAGTATCAAGAGCCAATAGAAAACCATACATTGATTTGGATTGTTTTAAACTCCATATCTCCCTCAAAACTAAAAGGCATATAACAAACCAAATAGTCAAAGACCCCTAATTTGTATTCCTAATCCTTTAACTATAGTCTATTTGTAGAATTTGCCAACTGTTTCCCTGTTTGAATCCAACGCTTACTCTGACTGATTATGACGTTAAATCTTGAAAGCTCTACATTTAACATCTCCAAGAAAATTATGATGTGGCAGACACCTTCTTCCTCCTGTATATATTTTGTCATTTGGGTAACTTATTTTCTCTGCATTGATTGGCGAAGACAGATTTAAAGTCCTGCTTCATCATCATATTTTCTCTTTAACTTGCTCCTCCTTGTCCTATGCCTCTCCCTCTCACCCTAAACAAAACAGATGAGATGTGAAAACACATTTAAACCTCTTGGTTTGCCATCCAACTCTAAAACTTGATGGTAACATATATCTATATCCTTTTCCTAAGAGTTAGTTATAACTTTTAATATGATATAACGTTTAGTTATGTTATATATATAACAAAAAAAAAAGACGACCGAACCTGATATCGTTCAATTGCTCAGTTCCGTTGATTGTGACCGGTGCGACGAACGGAACCGAACAATGGAAGAACCCTTTTGTGATGGTGATTGGGTCGATAGATCATTCCTATATATTAAAAAAAAAATTTTGTTTAATTAAAATCAAAATTTACCCTCGAGAATTCACACATGCATATCACCGTGGTTTAATATATGTCTTGACAGATCACATTATTATTACAAACGACTAACAATAATTCATCATCAAAAATATATTATTCTTTGAAATAACTCTTTGGTCACCATCATGCATATTTTCATACTAGGAGACAACAAAAGTGACAAATATGTCATGTTTTCCCAAATACTATCAGAACTCTTAGAATAAGAAATATACTCAGAGTTGGTGTAATTCTTTATTATTTTTTCACTGGTTAGTTCATTATCTATCTCCTCTCTGCTCCCTCTATCTCTCTAAGCATGCTACACTTGGGACTTAACTTAGCTTTCTATATAAACACTTGCAAACACATCCTCCTAGTGTCAACCACATTCCATAGCCATCTCTCTCTCCCTCTCTCACTCACTCTCTCTTTCTCTCTGGTTTGTTTCAAAACAGAGTACAAAACAGAGAAAACAAGAGAAGAAAACAGATTGATCTGTTTTTAAAACAGAGCAGATAACAGAGTGAGATGGGAACAATGATGGTGATGATGGGTCTTCTCTTTATCATTGTCTCGCTCTGTTCCGCTCTTCTTCGATGGAATCAGATGCGATATACCAAGAATGGTCTCCCTCCTGGAACCATGGGCTGGCCAATCTTTGGTGAAACCACCGAGTTTTTCAAACACGGCCCCAACTTCATGAGAAACCAAAGACTCCGGTAAGAATAAACTCAAACAATCAAATCAAGATTTTGTTTTCCTCTACCAAACCAACTAACTTGGGATCAACAGATATGGGAATTTTTTCAAATCTCATCTTCTTGGTTGTCCAACGTTAGTCTCGATGGACTCAGAAGTAAACAGATACATTTTAAAGAACGAATCAAAAGGTTTGGTTCCTGGTTACCCACAATCCATGCTTGATATTCTCGGAACTTGCAACATGGCTGCGGTTCACGGTTCGAGCCACCGGCTTATGAGAGGTTCACTTCTCTCTCTTATAAGCTCGACCATGATGAGAGATCATATCTTGCCTAAAGTTGATCACTTCATGAGAAGCTATCTTGGTCAGTGGAATGAGCTTGAGGTTATTGATATCCAGGATAAGACCAAACATGTATGTTTTTACCTTTATCTTTTTCCTTCTCTGTTTTTACTTTTTTACCTTCTCTGCTTCTTCAGTCTATGCCTTACAAGAGGATGTACTGTTTTACTATGTCAGATAAATTCTTTCAAAAATAAATCAAGTAGTTGTAGTTTAGTGGTTGAGGATTGATTATTTCGAAATTTTCTGTTTTTTAAGTAAGTGATGTTTTGGTATAATAAATTTTACAGTTACATTATTAATTGATTCCCACCGATATGGTTACAGTTTTTGATAGAGACTGATAAACAAACTTATAATCTTATATATTTTTTTTTTTGTTAAAGCACTTATAATCTTATATGGATGGGTGTAATAGTAAATAACTGAGAATGTTTGTCTTCGCTTAAATTCAAGAATACTTGTCAGACTTTTTTTGTTTATTTATGTATATTTTGTGTATTTTTAAATATTTTTTTCTTGAGTGGGTTTCATGCAGATGGCATTTTTATCTTCACTGACACAAATCGCTGGGAATTTAAGAAAACCATTCATTGAGGAATTCAAAACTGCGTTCTTCAAGCTTGTTGTTGGAACTTTATCGGTTCCGATCGATCTTCCCGGCACAAATTATCGTTGCGGGATCCAAGTAAAATACTTGATCTTCACTAAGAAAAATTTTAAAAGTAAAAAATTTGACACAAACTGAATTTTTTTCGGTTGCTTTTCAGGCAAGAAAGAACATTGATCGGTTTCTAAGAGAGCTGATGCAAGAACGTAGAGATTCTGGAGAAACATTCACAGACATGTTAGGTTACTTGATGAAGAAGGAAGATAACCGATACCCATTAACCGATGAAGAGATAAGAGACCAAGTCGTGACGATTTTGTATTCGGGTTACGAAACTGTCTCTACGACCTCAATGATGGCTCTTAAGTACCTTCATGATCACCCAAAAGCTCTTCTAGAACTCAGAGTATGTCTCTAAGAAAATAGCATAACGGTTTTTCGATTGTCTGGTTTAATCCGGTTCGGTTATTTGATTCCGGATTGTTTTGGAAAATGCAGACAGAGCATTTGGCTTTAAGGGAAAGTAAACGACCAGACGAACCACTTGGTCTTGAGGATGTAAAGTCAATGAAGTTCACTAGAGCTGTGAGTAACATTAATGTTATACTAACAATAACTAAGCATTAGTTGTTAGTTGTTAGCGATTAATTAATCATTACTAATTATTTATTACAGGTTATTTTTGAGACATCAAGATTGGCAACGATCGTTAATGGGGTCCTAAGGAAAACTACTCGTGACTTAGAAATCAATGGTACGCATATATATAGTTTTATTACAAATCCTTTGTCGGGTTGATTATAAATTTATAGTTTTAAATTTAGGAAAAATAAAGAGAGAAATAATGTGAGCATGTGGTGGACCTTAGTATAGATCAATGATTTAGAATGTATTATGAATACCAACCAAATCCAGCTATGAAAGCATCCTCTTTTGAGTGAGCCATCTTTGGGTATTTGAGCTCCAATAATTTTGACAGAATATAAACCTTTTTTGTGTGTTCTTTAATTGATTTTAGTATTCTGATCTAGTGATCATGAATCTTTAATAATTGCAGGTTATTTAATCCCAAAAGGATGGAGAATTTATGTATACACGAGGGAAATTAATTACGATGCAAATCTATATGAAAACCCATTGATCTTTAATCCATGGAGATGGATGGTAAGTATTGTACTTCATATATTTAATATGAAACGTCGTTTTAGAGTTTTATTTTTGTTTGAATGTCGTTTTGAATTATCAATGCTATTTAAGCCAAATTTATGATTATATCACTACTTATAAAACTTATTGTAACTAGAAAGATAATTTTATAGTCTTAGTCAGACAAAATGATCTTGTACTAATGAAGAGTAAAATTTACATTTTAACATCTTTTACATATATGTAGATTTTTGTAAACGAGACTTAATTTAAAACGGAAAGACTATTGTGTCGTCCTCGTTTCCTTTGGTTCTTTCAGTGAACACTTATGATTTAAAATGAGGGTTTTATTAATGCAGAAGAAGAGCTTGGAGTCACAAAACTCATGCTTTGTGTTTGGAGGTGGGACAAGGCTTTGTCCTGGTAAGGAACTAGGGATTGTCGAGATCTCGAGCTTCCTCCATTACTTTGTTACGAGATACAGGTGTGTTCTTGGTGATGATCTAATGTATTTGTTTTGTTTGAAGTTATTGTTGTTTGATATGAGAAGTTTTTGTTAATACTAATTCCTTTGTGATGAATCAATTATAATGGCAGATGGGAGGAAATAGGAGGGGATGAATTAATGGTGTTTCCAAGAGTTTTTGCACCAAAAGGCTTCCATCTTAGGATTTCACCCTACTAATTTTAACTTTTTAAAATGAATAAATAAAAATTTAGAAAATAATATAGATTTTATGCACAAAGGTTACAGAAGACGTATATGAAGCAACAAAAGAAGATAATTATATATATTTTTCTTTCTTTTTGACCCATATTTTTGTTCTCATTTAAGAGTCTTCTGGTCATATGTACATAACCATAAGCAGTTTTATTATATCTATTTCTCTGTAACTCTATTTGAACTTGAAGTATATCTCTGGCTAATTCTTGATGATGTTCTATATCAAATCTAAATAACTTCTCCATCCAAACATATGTAGCTGACTTAGTTAAACCTGGCGAAGCCCATGGGCCAGCAATAATGCATAGACTTTTTTTTGTGGTACCAATCAATTTTATCTGATATTTTGAATTAAACTTAAAGAGTAACAAAGGTTCAAGCAAGAAATCAAGCTAAGAAGTGCAAAGGCCAAAACAAAAGCGAATAGGGGAAACACAACGAAAACGTTACACATTGCTAACATTTCCTTGTCAAAGAGGTCATTTAGCCATCAGAGATGACCTTATGTTTAATGAGCTAGGGTTGAACTTAGAAATAACTATAAGTATGCGGTCATAGTTATGTGATTTACAAAGGATTTTGGCTGGAACCAAAATGATTCGAAATTTAAGATGCAGTCCTAAAGGATATGTGAACTCTCAAATTTCCTGATTGATATTTCGTTAAATTAAACAATTTTGTTATAAAATTAAGATTTTCTGTTGAAATTAAAATAAATAAATAAATAAATAAAAACAAAAGTGAAATGAGATATTTTCTCCATCTGGAGTGTTACATCATCACCAATTTTTTTTTTCTTGTTTGCTTCCTAATTATAATAGTTTCTTTAAAATTTAAATTACTAATAGTTGAGTTTAAGTATGGTCAAATATACATGTCATTATTAAATTTTTTTTTTTTTGGCTTCCTAACAATCATTTGAATTTTATTTAAAATTTATATGACTATATAGTTGAGTTTTTTTTAATGTAATTTTAAATTATATTCAAAAGAAAAAAAAACGTATTTACATCAATTGCAACATTTGGTAGAAAGAGTTGTAAAACAAATTATTATAGGTGAGTTTTAAGTGTGGTCAAATATACATTTTACTATATAAAATTAGTTTTTATTTAATTGGTGAAATAAAAATGAGCAACTCATATCCCATATTAAAATAAAGCATATACATTTCAAATACGAAGGCGGTCTTCAACTATGGTTTGGATCAAGACAAGCTCAAGATTAATCTCTTTATGCGAGAAACTGTTTTATGAAAAGTATATGCATTAAGTTGTAAAACATGTTTTCTTTCTCTTTTTGAATATAATTTAACATCTATTCAAAAAAAAAATGAAGATTATATATATATATATATATATATATATATATATATATATATATACTTGAAAATCCAAAAATGCGACACTAGGAGTTTGAAATGGTTATACAAAAGTTTAAAATCGTGTTCTCTCAAGTCTCACAGCACCCCACATTTATTATGGTTGTAATATTTCAGTTCATAATGCATTTGAAGTTTGAAATGGCATTGTTTGCTACTTTGCTTAATGATTCTATTTTCTCAACTTGTCATGAGTTTATACGTGCTTGTTTCAATGATATTTCAATTGCACGTGCTAGCTGTTGAGTTGACTCGAACAATTGTCAATGTTAATTTGTTCGTTTAATTTTAGTAACATGCCACGATTGTATAAATCCATGTCCAAAATTGGAATAGATAAGGCTTATCATCGATATGGAGAGACAGCAGCTTGAGCAGCAGACAAGTGAGATTCAAACGGTGTTTTTTTTTCTTCTTTTAGATTCAAACCCTATCGTGATCCGGTCAGCCAATATGGTATTTAAGCCTTGAATCTGGTTAACATTGACGGCTGCCACATTAAACCCGACTGCATTAGTTACGGTTCTTGGCCTATTTAGCCCAGTGAAAAAGAAGTCATACGCGGTTGCGAGCTTTGGGTCCTTGCAGAACTTTTCATTCACAAAAACTGAACATATATAATAACAAAAATGATAAGAGAATATTATAAGGTATTGAAATATCAGTGAAAAATGAGTGTATGAAACTATTACGAAATCAACATGAACATACCGCCATTTGCTGGGGTGTTGACACAGATACAGAAATATTGAAGGGGGCTTGGATCAGAAGCATCGGCTGATGAAAGTGCTAAAGCCAAGAAAGATAGAATTGCAAGAAATGAGAAACTTTTTTAATAGCCATATTCAAAGTGATTCTTAGAAGAAGATAATGCTGAAATAGTCCATACAAATGTATATACACCTGTAAATCCAAGAAATTCTAAAATGTATACTCTAAAAGTCTGAAATAGTACTTATGAATTTTTTTAAAAATCGTGTTCCCTCAACGCACCATGTTTATAGTGGTAATATTTCAATCTAAATACAATAAGAAATTGTTAGCGAAGTTTTAATTTCAAATGCAAGTTGACGTTTGAAATAGAAAGTGTTGACAAGTTACACAAAATGCATTTGTTTGATGATTATATATTCTCAACTTGTCATGAATTTATATGTGCTCATTTTGACAATATTTCATTTGCACATGCAGCTGAGTTGACTCAACCAAATGTCAATATGAAACTGTTACTTGAGTTTGATTGTTTCTTTAAGTGAGTAGGCACGACTATATTAACTTACATGTATGCATGTAAATAAAAAGTGATGTTAAAAATTTAAAGAGATAATTAATGCCTCTAATGTTATTACGTAATCTTAACCTTGTCACATAAATTTCAACCCATACCGATTGTGAATCGCTCATCATAGTTTTTATATCTTTCCAAATGAGTTTAGTACTTATAATTTCAAAAACAAGAGAAAGTTACGTTCATAACTTTCTTGGCAGAGTATATTAAACCTGCTAAAAGCCATATATATTCTTGTAACAAAACTTTTCATACTAAATGAGTTTTCACATCCATATCTAAGAGAAAAAAAAAAAAAAGAAAAGAAAAATGAGTACAGAATTTTAAGTTTTTTCACAACTTCTAACAAAGGAAAGTACATGTATATTCAGCATCTGAACTAGAGTTCTCGTATAGATTCTTGGGTGGCCATTTGCTTGCTTCTCTATTATCTCGTGTATAATTGTACATATTGTGAAAGGAAACTCTTGTCACTAAAGAAAATATTTATCGTGAATTCCGAAATATTGACGTGCAAACCATTTATCCATTACTTAGAAAGGAAATGCATTTTTTTTTATTTAGAATCGAATCAAGGTAAAAGCAAAAAAAGACATCATGTCAAAATACAATAAACGGAAATACAAGATCCTTATTCAGGCACAAGTACGTAAAGGGAAATCAGTTACGATATTATTATTTCTTGAACTTGTTTTGCAGATCCACGACAGTCCTTGGGTTCAACTGGAACGCCTTTGCAAGAATAGTTGGGTTTATGGCTGGGTTAGCCCCAAACACGGTGTTGGCAATAGTGATGACACCAGGGTTTTGGCTGCTTAGAGCGGCGAATGCAACCGCTGGTCCCTTGCCAATGTTTGCTTGGAAATGGATGAGTCCCTCTGGAAACACAAATACATCACCCTCGTTGAGAACTTTAGTGAAAAGGCGATTATCCGGGTTTGATGTGACAAACCCTACGAGAAGTGTTCCTTGTTCGACAACCAAGATCTCCGTGGCACGTGGGTGGGTGTGAGGTGGGTTCTGTCCGTTAACCGCATAATCAATACGGACAAGGGAGATTCCAAGAGTATTTAACCCGAGAAGGTTGTTAACATTGACGGCTGTCACGGTCGACCCAACTGGACTAGTTACGGGTCTTGCATTTTGAAGCCCTGAGAAAAAGAAGTCATCTGCTGTGACGAGTTTCGGGTCCTTGCAGAACTTTCCATTAACAAAAACTGAATATAGTAACCAAGAAGAAAAAGTGTTATTAAGATATGAGAAAATTTATCAAAAAATATGAGTAAAAGTGATTTGCAATCATCATGTACATACCACCATTTGCTGAGGTGTTGGCGCTGACACAAAAGTCTTGAAGTTGGCTTGGATCAGATGCAATAGCTAATGGAAGTGTCAAAGCCAAGAGAGAGAGCACTGCAAGAAATGAGAGACTCTTCATTGCCATAAAAGAGAGAGGAATAAGATTTTAGTGAAGAGATAAGAAACTTAAGTGACATAGACTTCAATTTATAGATGAGTTTACGTGTTGAACTAATCCAAGAAATTAATTAATGAACTTGATATTTGAAATGGTTAAAGTATTTAAATTTGTTTTCTTCAACACATTATGTTTAATTGAAAATTCAAGTTAATAAAATATATATATATATATTTCCAACGAAACATGATGCACTTGAAGTTTTATATACATAGTTCAGTAAATTATACGTTTATTGAATGATTACTCGAAGGGAAGGTCAATGTGAACGTGTTGGGGTGTGTTAAAATGTTAGCATCTGATTGTTTCTTAATTATATGATAAGACACTAGGAATAGTATAGAGATAAGATATAATAACTAATGTTTTCAGAGAATATTGTACTTTTTCACATAAATCTAAACCCCTATTTCGGTTTTAAAATCCATCGTAGAGCACTAGCCATATGTATATGTGTGTCTCACCGATGAATTCTCCGCTTATATTCATCATTCTGATTTCTTTTTGTTTTCTTTTGTTTTTTTGGGTTCCAGTGCATCTTATTATCAAAAGAAACATAACTAGCTATATTATACACACTTTCGAGTAAAACTAAAATGTTTGATAATATATACACGGTTCTACTTCTACATATTCTTGTTTGAAAAATCGTTAATGCGGAAAATGGAAGAATTTAAACTAGTGGCCAGTGGAACCAAAATATATCATATTATCCACAACCCACACCTTGGCAAAAATGACAGTCATACTATTTTTTTTTTATAGTATTTTATTATTATAAAACATACTAGAGGTTATCTAACGCTACGCGCCAATTTTTTTAGCAGCAAAATTTCACTGTGTTTATAAATAAAAATTAACCTTTATTAGTATTTTAACAACATAAAATCTTATTATTTGACTTTTGAAATATAGTATTAGCCAAAATATATATGTCAATGATATTTTACATCTATATTGGTATATGTTGATATGAATTTATTTTCAAATAGTTTGTGAGAAGCAATCATATATACGAAATGCCCAAATAGAATACCATAATTGCTAAATAATAGCTACTATAGGCGACTAATCTACGACTATTTTCATCATTCTTCAATTAGAGACTGATTAGCGACTATTGTATAATACTCACCGTTTGTTCGCCAAAACATCGCAAATCAGTCGCAAAATTTACCGACTAATTCATTAGTCGCCGAATAAAGTCGCTAATCCGTGTTTTCTTGTAGTATAACGTCCTGAGAGAACTCCATAGTTAAGCGTGCTTGTGCTAAAACAATTTCAGGATTTGTGACCTTCCGGGAAGTAATTACATGAATTGTACAAAACACATAGAAAGATTATGTGGTGATTTGTAGGGTCGGTAAACAAGTCTTTAAAGCTTTTCGGACGTAACGAACCGACCGTCGGACATGAGTGGGACCCACGGACCCGAGAGAGGATGTGGGGGCTCACTAGAAGGGGCGGTCGGGGCGTTACAAGTGGTATCAGAGCCGAACCCAGGCGAGTGTGGAGTCAAGAGGGCTTACACCGTCGGGGTGACGGGCTTGGTGTGCAACGAGGACATTGCGATCTATTAACGGGGGTGATTGTAACATCCCGGTTTTAGAAATATGGTGGTGCATGTGGAGAGGTTTAAAAGAATTGATTTAGCCACCTATGTTACAAAAGTGCACTTATCTTTTCGGTCAAACGTCCTGAGAGAACTCCATAGTTAAGCGTGCTTGTGCTGGAGCAATTTCAGGATGAGTGACCTTCCAGGAAGTGATTTTCGGAATTATGTGAGTGAGAACAAAACACAGGGAAATATCATGTGCTGATTTGTAGGTCGGTAAACAAGTCTTTAAAGCCTCCTGGACGTAACGGACCGACCGTCGGATAGGAGTGGGACCCACAGACTCGAGAGAGGACGTGGATGCTCACTAGAAAGGACGGTCGGGGTGTTACAAAGATATATTGCAAAAATTATTAAAAGCATTTATCTGGGAAAGGTTAGATCGTGCATCGCGAGACTTTATCTGGGGAAGTACAGTGGTGCAGCGGAAACAACATTTGGTGGGCTGGGAAAAAGTTTGCAGGCCCAAATCAGAGGGGGGCCTGGGTGTTAGGGCTGCGCATAATATGAATAAAGCCTTGATCTCGAAACTGGGCTGGAGGGTGATTAATGATCAGCATAGTCTATGGGCAACGATTCTGCGAAAAAAATATAGAGTGGGAGACCTACATGATCAGTCGTGGACAGTGGCCAAGAGTCATTGGTAATCTACCTGGAGAAGTGCAAATGTCGGGTTGAGAGAGGTGGTGTTGCCGGGTTTGCACTGGGTCTTGGGCGATGGCAGGCAAATTAAATTTTGGACTGATACATGGTTGTTCTCTACTCCGTTGGTGGACTGTACGAGTAGTGATCTCCCGGAGACGTTGGCGGGAAGCTGTGTTCGAAATTTCTGGAGTAATGGAGCGGGATGGGACTTTAATCAGATTATGGGATATTTGTCGGAGGAGAAAAAACTGCAGCTTCTAGCAGTGGTGCTTGATAATGTCACCGGCGCTAAAGACAGAGTCTCATGGGGAGGGACTACGGATGGGAGATTTACGGTGAAGTCAGCCTATGCTTTCCTTACTAAAGATGAGACGCCGAGACCGGGTATGAGTAAGTTTTTTGAGAAGATATGGAGGCTGGTAGCACCGGAAAGAGTAAGAGTTTTCCTATGGCTAGTCACACATCAAGTAATCATGACAAATGTGGAAAGAGCCCGACGTCATTTGGGAGACTCATCGGTTTGTCAGATTTGCAAAGGAGGGGAAGAAACTATTCTTCACGTTTTACGGGACTGTCCTGCAATGTCTGGTTTGTGGGCTCGTATCATCCCTCAACGTGTCTTGAATACTTTTCTCGCAGACCCTATTGGAATGGTTACACACAAATTTGAGTGCAACCGTGGAAATAGGTGAGAGCCCGTGGCCTACTCTTTTTGCAATGACAGTGTGGTGGGGATGGAAGTGGAGATGTGGGAATGTGTTTGGAACAAATGGTCGATGTCGGGATAGAGTGTGTTTTGTGAAGGATATCGCCAGAGAGGTTACGGCTGCGAACTTGAGTGTTAATGCAGGAGGCCGGGATGGTCCTACTCGGGCGGTAAGACAGATTGCTTGGATACCGCCAGAGGAGGGTTGGTTGAAGCTGAACACGGATGGGGCCTCTCATGGCAATCCGGGTTTAGTAACTGCAGGTGGAGTGCTTCGGGATTGTGATGGGAATTGGTGTGGCGGTTTTGCGGTAAACATCGGGGCTTGTACGGCACCTCTAGCTGAGTTATGGGGAGTCTATTATGGATTGTTTATAGCTTGGGAGAGAGGAGCTAGACGGGTTGAGCTGGAGGTGGACTCGGAGATAGTCGTGGGATTTCTTAAGACAGGGATTAATGATTCACATCCACTGTCGTTCCTAGTACGTTTGTGCTATGGCTTTATTACGAAGGACTGGATTGTCCGTATTTCACATGTGTATAGGGAGGCTAATCGTCTTGCGGACGGATTAGCTAACTATGCGTTTTTCGTTACCGCTGGGCTTCCATATGTTGGGGTCTACGCCGGATTTTGTTTGAGGATTCTATAGGACTCTCGCATCCGCGAAATGTCCGAGTGTAGTTCGTATTTCTTTTTTAATAAAATGGGAGACTAGATCTCCCTCTTGTTCAACAAAAAAAACAAAAACAAATGGTGTTGAAATAATAATAATTTATAAGCCAAAAAAAAATCGAACGGTTTACGGTTTTAAACCCAACCGAACCGGAACCAAAATATTTTAAATAATTGTAACTGAGTATGTTGTTGGAAGAAACCGAAACCAAAACAAATCACTTAATTACGGTTCGATTCGATTTTGATAAGGTTTTTTCTGTCCACTCTTAATTTATTACTGCAGACATAGGTTTATAATATATTTTTATCGATAAAAAATTTATAACAGAGAAAATACAATGTATAGAAAATGAATATATATAACAATACTAAACACAAACTTGGTTAACAAAAATATTCAACATTAATTAAAAAAATAAAGCAAAAGTCCACTCGTAGAACGGAAACTTACCTAGTCAGTTATTATCTGAGAATAGGGCCACCAACTATCAATCGATTTGGACTTTTCCATGTTTGACTAACAAATTAGCTTAATTTTTTTATCAATTATTTTAGAGAAAACATATATATTCCATAAATTCATAGATGCAGATATCAACACCCTATGATTTTAACTTATCTAATTTCTTAATAAATCCAAGAACATAATTCAAGACAATCCTAAAAAAACCACATAAACTATCAATTGAATCTAAGACCACATGCAACATCACACTAAGTTTCTGCGTTAATTTTCTTTTTATCATTTAAGATTTTTGAACAATGAAAATAGCAAAATACTATCAATTAATTAATTTTTACCGCGAAATAAGATTTTATATCATTATATATTAGTTACTTTAATATGTCCCTTTTTTTGGACAAAATTTATTTTAGTATGCCATTGTGTAGGATTTCACCACTAATTGTTATGTAGTTCTCAATAGTTTTTTCAGAAGAAAAAAATGTAACAATTCGTTCACATAGTATTTTTTATATGGTAACTGTAGATTAATGTTAAAATTTACATTTTATTTTCAAAACATTAAAAACTCTGTAAAATGATACTCCGTTTGTTTTAAAATATAAAATAATTTAAAATTCTTCTCCCTTAAAGAACGGAAAAAGAAACGTAGTCGATTAGAAGATAACAATGGAAAAATGAAAAATAGGTATCATTTTACAGACTATGACATCATAGTACACCTTGTGCAAATCACTACAAATACATTTTTTCTAACTTTACCTAACAATGCGATATTTGGCCCTCTATTTTTATGATAGATGTAATTTTCATTAATTTTTTAGTTTGACATTCTAAATTTACAAAATGGTCATTAATAGTTTTCCCACATTTATATTTTTAACCAAAAGTGTGACTTTACTACTTAATTATTTTCGGTTACAAATGTCAATATTTATTACATATTAAACTATAATTTTGAGAAGAACTATTTTTTACTATAATTGGAACTCTCTTAATTAGTTCTATTAAACGCATCATGTAACTTTGACAATGTTGGTGTTGTAAGAGAGGCCTTGGAAGCTAGGTAGAAGAAGGTGAAACACTAAACGTCTTTATGATTTTGTTAGAAGATTGTTGATGGGTATTTATTCTTTTGTTATCGATGAAACATATATAGTTTAAATGGGAGCCGACATATTGGAAACAACAGAAATTGATGAACACTTGCTGTAACCCTCGAAATCTTTGTTGCACATGTATGATTTTGAATTCAAAATGTTTTGTTAAAACTAAAAATGAAAGAAAACTATTCTTGTAAAATGGAAAAAATATTTTTGAAGTAAACTATCATATTAGAAAAAAATAAAAATAGAGTCAAATTCTTACCATCATTATGTCTCGATTGATTTATCAACCCATTAGATTTCATGCTTGGTAAGGTTTATGCTCTCCATAAATTTTGGGATTAGGACTAACATAGATCAAAATTTTCTATACAAATTTGATTTTAAGATATGGTGGAGGAGGAATAGTGAACAAGCAGAAGAAGAAAAGATAAAGTAAGCAGAAAACCTCCCAGGCACGATTATCGAAACAATTTTTCTGAGCTCCCTTTCTGACGCCGGTGAAGCTTTGGCTCGCCGGCGTCGGGACACCTCTTCTTCCTTTAACTTGCATCTCCTATATCTCTCGATAATCTTTGTTAGGCCATTTTCTCAATCATCCCTAAACTCCAATCTTTCAACGTGTTTCGATGGCTCCGACCGAATCTGTGACAGAGGACTAAGGCGGTCTCCGGCGACCTTCTCCCAGCCTTACCCTCTACTTAATTCAATTTCGAAATCGAAGAAAGAAGTCCACACTTTTCCCAGCGGTGCTTTATCTCACAAATCGGAACCTTGCCTCATCGATCCGCCAAGATACTCTAGCTCTCGACCTTTACCAGAAGGTTCCACGCACCAGCAGATGTTGTTCAGCGTTCCAATTCTTGGAATGACTTCTCCGGTGATGTTGGCGGCGGTGTACGGCAGAGCTCCTCAAACCAGAGGTATGCTAGGGTTTCCTTTATTGGACTGGACTCAATTGGGCCCAATTGACTATATCTCTCGGCCCATTACCAAAAGTTGCAACCCAACTTCTCACTTTGCTTGGCCCAGGTCTGCTTTTCTTAATTTTTTGCTTAGCCCATCATCTTTGACATCTCGATATAGCGACTTGACTGGCCGAGGACTCCAACTAAGTCCTATGTCGTTATCATTGCGATGGGTGTGTAATTATATTTCTCGAACCTTGGCCATTTGCAAATCTGCGATTACTTCATCGTTTCATCAAAGCTTCAGGCTAATCGATTTGTTGTCTCTAGTTTCTAGATATGTTAACAGACTGAAGAATAACGGCATTATGATCTCCTCTCTAAGGAGAGGTGATTACCGGAACTTCTTCAATCTTTTTTCCATGTTTCCTCTGAATACCGAATCCGAGCAAGTGTTATCCTATGATTATAAGGTTGATATTCATGAAATCAAAGGTTGGAGGAACTTTGGCATTATGATCCCGTTCCCATGGAACGGTGGTTACCAAAGCTTCCTCAACTTTTTACCTCCGAACCCGCCCGACGACAGAACCAGTTTAACTTCTCTCCTTGCTGATGAGCAAATCCAGCTCGCTATACTCGTGCCGGCGAGAACCTCGGCTATGGAACCCTATTCAACGTCACTTAGTCTATTGACCGTGACCATCGTATCGTCTAACGCTTCGTTCGTGGATGATTCTTCGACAAACCGTGTTATCACTTGCACCAATTTGCTTCATTCCTTTGGCCTCCAAGCTCTCATGGATCCTTTGTCGAATTACTTTTGCTATCTATGTGTAGCATTTGCTTTAACCTTTGTTTGTTGTTGCTACTTTTTTTTAAGCCTTCTTATCCTTGTACCTTTGGCTACTTTGAACCTTGTCTCGTTTGAATGAATGAAAACAAGTTGTTTGACAAAAAAAAAAAAGATATGGTGGAGGAGGATAAGAATATGATTATTTATAAAATGAGAAATGGTAAAAGTTACATTTAAACAAATAATTTAAGTAATTAAGTGAGTTACAATTATGGTAAAAATAGTTTATCTCAAAATTCTAGTTTAATATATAGTAAATATTGACATATGTAACTGAAAAATAATTAATTAATAGAGTTATAATTTTTTGTTAAAAATAATATATGTGGGAAAATAATTGGTGACCAATTTTTTAAATGAAGAAATGTAGAAAGTCAAACTAAAAATCAATGAAGAGTTTATAAGCAATCAAGAGTACATGTGTCACAAAAATAGAATGTCAAATGTTGCAATGTTAGGCAAAATTAGAAAAAACAATTTCATATTATATAAGACTAGGTGAGTATCCGCTCTACGAGCGGGCTTTCTCTTTATTTTTTTTTCTAAATTAACATTGAATATTTTTGTCGATCAATTTTTGTATTTATTAGAGTTATAAATATTTATTGTTTTATACTTTGTATTTCTTCTTTTAAAATTTATTTTATAAACGTAAATATCTAGTAATAAATTAGGGGTGGGCAGAAACCTCATCAAAAAAGTTGAACCTGTGATTCATTTTGGTTTCGGTTTTTTCCAAAAACTGTTCGGCTACAAATATATAAAATAAATTGGTTTCGGTTCGGTTTAATTTAAAACCATAAAGCCATTCGGCTTTTTTGCAATATTTTTTCCTTTTCTTGGTAATAAAAGCTACATGAATAAATTTTCTCAATCTAATGACATTTGTTTTAGAAAGTTTATAATTCCTATTAGAAAATAAAAAAGAAAAATCTTTGGAAGATGATATATTTTATAATAATATTATGTTTAACATTTAATTGGTGAAGTATGTTGGAATGTACTCATGGGTTCATTGATCTAAATCAAAGATGATACAATTTAATATAAATATTTAATGTTTTTTATTTTTTGAAAAAATTATGGAATAAACAAAAAATAACCGAAATCGAACCAAACCAAATTTTATAAGGTTTTTATGTGGTTTTCTATTTTTTATAAAACCAATTAATCGTAAGACAAAAAAACAATTTGTTTTTTTATAGAGAAAGCGAAATTTTGTTTTCTTTTTTTATTTAATTTTGCTTCAAGCCATTCAACTCATATTACCCGTAAGTTTAGAGGGGGTTATTGGTTCATTTGTTATTCAATCATTGATTTTACAATCCTAATTAAAATTATGTGTTATTGGTTCTATGGTTTATAAATATTAGTTAAAATCCTATCTCATTCGTTTAGTCATTTGATTTTGGATTTCAAAATCCAAATTAATTATGTTTTAAATGGATTTGAAAGAAAAAAATAGAAGGATTCAAATCCATGGGTAAACACATGTTATTTCAAAACTCATATGTCTTGATTTCATAATTACTAAAGATTTTCAAATCCTATAGGGATTTACAAATCAATAACTAATAACACCCCCTAAGTTTCTGTCCAATTCACTATGTACTTTTAGCCTCTGTCTAGTTCACCACATACTCTTCTTCATCTTTATAATCACATCTCTATTAAAAAGTAAAAATCTCAATTCAATTTTATTACCTTATCATAACACCAATATCAATTGAATCTCATACTCTTGAGCTACTTGCCATCGATGTAGTACCCTCAATTCTATAAGGCGAAACATCTCTCCTTTTTTTTTGTTAAAGGATTCTCAAGGCGAAACCTCTTAATGAGCTAGAGACTTTAATATATTTTGGAATGAATATAGATTGTTTTTTTGTTGAAGAAAACTCCATCAGAATAGAGATAACTTGTCGTGAATTTTTAAAATGACTTTAGGAACATGAATCCATTTCTGAAAAATACAAATGTTACTTTATTTAGAATTGAATCAAGGTAAAAGCAAAGAAAGACATCATGTCATGATGATACGATGAACGGAAATACAAGATTGTTATTCATGCACAAGTACATAAAGGGAAAGCAATTCAAATCACAATATTATTATTTCTTGAACTTGGTCTGTAGATCCACAACAACCCTTGGGTCCAACTGGAACGCCTTTGCAAGAATAGTTGGGTCTATGGCTGGGTTAGCCCCAAACACGGTGTTGGCAATAGTGATGACACCAGGGTTTTGGCTGCTTAGAGCGGCGAATGCAACTGCTGGTCCCTTGCCAATGTTTGCTTGGAAATGGATTAGTCCCTCTGGAAACACAAATACATCACCCTCGTTGAGAACTTTAGTGAAGAGGCGATTATCCGGGTTTGATGTGACAAACCCTACGAGAAGTGTTCCTTGTTCGACAACCAAGATCTCCGTGGCACGTGGGTGGGTGTGAGGTGGGTTTTGTCCGTTAACCGCATAGTCAATACGAACAAGGGAGATTCCAAGAGTGTTTAACCCGAGAAGGTTGTTAACATTGACGGCTGTCACGGTCGACCCAACTGGACTAGTTACGGGTCTTGCATTTTGAAGCCCTGAGAAAAAGAAGTCATCTGCTGTGACGAGCTTCGGATCCTTGCAGAACTTTCCATTAACAAAAACTGAAAATAAGAAGAAAGAGTGTGATTAAGATATGAGAAAATTTATTAAAAATTATGAGTAAAAATGATTTGCAATCATCATGTACATACTTCCATTTGCTGAGGTGTTGGCGCTGACACAAAAGTCTTGAAGTTGGCTTGGATCAGAAGCAATGGCCAATGGAAGTGTTAAAGCCAAGAGAGAGAGCACTGCAAGATATGAGAGACTCTTCATTGCCATAAAAGATAGAGGAAGGTGTTTTTGTTTCTTGAATAAGATTGTATTGAAGAGATAAGAAACTTATGAGACATAGACTTCACTTTATAGATGAGTTTACGTGTTGAACTAATCCAAGAAATTAAATAATGAACTTGATATTTGAAATGGTTAAAAAAGTTTTTTTTTTTTCAACCCATTATGTTTAATTGAAAACTCAAATTAAAATGTATACATAAATTTCTCCAACGAAACATGATGCACTTGAATTTTGAAATGGCAAGTGTTAGCGAGAATATATACATAGTTCAGCAAATTGTACGTTCAAAGATTAGTTTGTTGAATAATTCTTCCCTCAATTTGTCATTTATTTCACTGAGTCAAACAAAAGGTCAATGCGATCGTGTTGAACTAATCCAAGAAATTATGAACCTGATATTTGAAATGGTTAAAGTATTTAAACTTTGTTTTCTTTAACACATCATGTTTAATTGAAATTCAAGATAATAAAATATATATATATATATTTCCAACGAAACATGATGTACTTGAAGTTTGCTATACATAGTTTAGTAAATTATACGTTTATTAGTATATACATAGTAAAATTAAATATGAATCAATGTTTAGGAAATTAACATATATAGATCGAAAAAAACTAAGGTGATTTAAAATAAAACAAAAAAATATCCTAAACATCAAAAATCAAAACAAAATAATTTTATCGAATAATAAAACTGTGTAATAATAATATTTGAGAATGTATTTGGAAATTAGAATAGTATTGGTAGATTGAAGAGTTTTTCATTAGAAATAAAAAGGATTTTGTTTTTTTAAATAAATATATTTTAAAATTAGAATAATTTTTATGAGTTCGTAAGTTTCACATTTTAGAAAAATAAACATTAAGAATACAATCTAGAATTATAATATACGTTAAATTATATATGTAGAAACTGCAAAATTTTACATTGAAATCATATGTTTGTGAATAGGAATGAGTCCATATATGAGATTTCTTGTCTATAAAGCAATTTTAGATGCACCAAAACATGGTAGAAAAAAAACTTATGACAAACATCTCCTCAGATTTCTGTTTCTGATGTTTACTTTAATAAAAAGATCATGAAACTTATAAAAAAAAATTGAGTATTTAATGATATGAAGGAGAAAATAGAAATGATCTAAGGAGAAAAGAGAGTAAATGTCGGAACACGACGAGTGAATCATAGAAGATAACGAGAAAAATTGTAGTGAAAATGTGAGAAATTTTTTACTATTTTGGAAAAGTAATGCATATGGGTAAAATAAAATCTTTTAAAATTCAATTAAGTATATTTTTACTCAAAATAAAAATTTCAAATTAAGTTCTGCGCAACGTGTGGATATACAATCTACTCCCTCTGTTCCTCCAAGTTTGATGTTTTACATAGTTTAGCAGATTATACGTTATATGTTTAGTTTGTTGAATAATTCTTCCCTCAATTTGTCATTTATTTCACTAAGTCAAACAAAGGGTCAATGTGAACGTGTCGGGGTGTGTTAAAATGTTAACGTTTTTGGTTTTGTTTGATGATAAGACACGACTATATAAACCATATATATATAAATGGATGCTGGGAATAGTATAGAGATAATTAAGATATAAATAATGTTTTCAGATATATCGGTTCTAGCTAGGCCTGGGTACAAGATAAGTACTTGCTATTTTTTAAGTATTTGTGACTTGCTTTAGCCCGTACAAGTAATTAAAATTTCGGCTTGATACTCGATTTTTTTGAGCAAGTACTTGCTATAATAAGTACCCGTCCAAAATCTTGTTACTTGCAAGTAACTTGACTCAGCTTGTTACTTGCAAGGTAAATTGACTTGATTTGGCTTGTTACTTGCAAGATACTTGTTACTTGAAGTTTTGAACTAAATGATTTAATTTAAATAAAAAAACGAATCTCATACATATTATAATTCATTCCGAATTCTAAACATCATAAAATCACCAAATATTAAAGTTCAAAACATCATGGAATCACAACACATTCAAAATTCCAAAAGATAAGCATTTTAAAACAATTTGGTTCAAACTGAAACCCTAAAAAAAGAGAAACTGTGAAAGACTTCTCCGGATTGTTTTTTATTGTTTATTTGCTATTGGATTTTTAAAGTAGTTGGGTTATTTAGGTTTAATGGGCTTTAAGTTGTAACTAATGTTAGCCCTTATAGTTTTAGTTTATAACATTGGGCTTCATAGTTTTAGTAATTGGGTTTAATAGTGGTTGGGCTTTATAGTTTAAATATGTCTTATAATACAAAACGGGGCGAGTAACGGGGCAAGTATCAAAACGGGATGAGTAACGGGCCAAATATAAAAAAAAATTATGATACTTGATACTTGACCCTTACTTGCAAGTAATATAATTTATCTACTTGATACTCGACTTGACTATAGCGGGTATTTGAATTTTCAACGCGAGTACGAACCAAATAGCGTGTACAAAACGGATAGCGAGTACTTGTGCCCAAACCTAGTTCTAGCTAAATCCATCGTCGAGCACTAGCCAAAAATATGTGTCACCCATGAATTCTCCTCTTATAGTCATCATTATGATTTCTTTCCAATATTTTTTTGGTTTACGTTTTAACATGTAAAAACATTACACACATTCGAGTAAAACTAAAATGTTTAACAAATCGTTAATGCGGAAAATAGTAAGTGGGACAAAAATATATCTTATCATCGGCAACAACCATATATACGTCGTTTCCCTTTTAATATAAAACTTATTTCCTACCTTATAGACCCGAACCCGATGATATCGGGGATCCAAAGCATAGTCGTCGGCCCAATTAATTATTTGGGCCCACAATAATTTTTTCGTCCAAGTGAAAGAAGATAATCCACTAGATTTGTTTTTTTTTTTTTCTCTCTCTTTTGATACAAATTGAACAAACAAGACGAAGAAGAAAAGACTAAACAAAAATCAAATCAAGTTAATTAAAACCGAGTAAGAACTTCCTAGGCACGTGACTCGTCTTTAATTAACTTCTTTAGCTAAAAGATTAGATTCTTCGTCCTTGACTCCTCAAGGCGAAACCTCTTTCTTTCTGTTTTTATGGTAAAAGATTCTCAAGGCGAAACCTATCAATAAGCTACAGACTTTAATATATTAATTTAGGAATGAATATAGATTTTTTTTTTTTTTTTGTTGAAGAAAACTCCATCAGAATAGAGATAATTTGCAGTCGTGAATTTCCAAAATGACATTAGGAACATGAATCGATTTCTAAAAACATAAAAATATTAATTTATTTAGAGTTTGATTAAAAGCATTGACAAACATTCATGCCATGTAATGATAAGCGGATAATACAAGATCCTTATTCAGCTGGAAGTACATAAAAGAAAAAGCAACTAAAAGCACAATATTATTATTTTTTGAACTTGTTCTGTAGATCCACGACAATCCTAGGGTCCAACTGGAACGCCCTTGCAAGAATACTTGGGTTAATCGCTGGGTTAGACCCAAACACTGTGTTAGCAATAGTGATGACACCAGGGTTTTGGCTGCTTAGAGCGGCGAATGCAACCGCTGGTTCCTTGCCAATGTTTGCTTGGAAATGGATGAGTCCCTCTGGAAACACAAATACATCACCCTCGTTAAGAACTTTAGTGAAGAGGCGATTATCCGGGTTTGATGTGACAAACCCTACGAGAAGTGTTCCTTGTTCGACAACCAAGATCTCCGTGGCACGTGGGTGGGTGTGAGGTGGGTTCTGTCCGTTAACCGCATAATCAATACGGACAAGGGAGATTCCAAGAGTGTTTAACCCTAGAAGGTTGTTAACATTGACGGCTGTCACGGTCGACCCAACTGGACTAGTTACCGGTCTTGCATTTTGAAGCCCTGAGAAAAAGAAGTCATCTGCTGTGACGAGTTTCGGGTCCTTGCAGAACTTTCCATTAACAAAAACTGAAAATAGTAACCAAAACGATAGAGTGTTATTAAGAAATGAGAAAAATTATCAAAAATAAAAGTAAAGTGATTAGGAAATCTATATGTACATACCTCCATCTGCTGAGGTGTTGGCGCTGACACAAAAGTCTTGAAGAGGGCTTGGATCAGAAGCAATGGCTAATGGAAGTGTTATAGCCAGGAGAGATAGAACTACTAGAAATGGGAGACTCTTCATCGCCATATAGAGATTCTTCGAAGAGAGGAAGGTTTTTTGTTTTCTTGAATTAAATTGTAGTGAAGAGGTAAGAAACTTATGACATATAGACCTCCATTTATAGATGAGTTTACATGTTGAACTAGTCTATACACTTGCAGATCCAATCAGTTAAATAATGAAATTGATATTTCTCCAACGAAACACGATGCACCTGAAGTTTGAAATTAATGGCATGTGTTAGCGATAATACATTATGTATAGTTCAACATATTATTCGTTAAAGGTTAAGTTTGTTGAATGATTCTTCCCTCAATTTGTCATTTTATTTTACTGACTTGAACAAATTAATGGTCAATGTGAACGTGTTGGGTTTTGTTTAATTTTTCTAGATGATAAGACACGACTGTATCAACCAAATATATATAAGTAGTTATTTTTTGGAGAATAGTTTACTCTCTTTACTCTTTGACTTTCTTCTTTGTTGGCTAAAAAGTTTACATTGTAAACGAGATAAATGGTCTTTTAGACCTAAGCCAGTTAGCAGAAATTAGGAAAAAAAAATCAGGATTATTACATTGTAAAGATTATTACATTGTAATAATGTACTGTGGTTAAATTACATTGTAAAGATTATTGCCAAGTTCAAAAGAGATCAATGCAGTTTTGCCACCAAATATTTTCAGAGGCTGTTCTCGTAACTAATCGAACAGATTTGTGATTGTATTTGAATCATATTTAACTGTTCATAACATTTGATATGAACATGATTTCAACAAAGGATATGACATATGCTGAGTTAAACATGATTTGATGACCAAATGGTATGACAACATTATTTTTCTATGTATAGCGGTTTTCGACATCAACATAAAAAAATTTGGTTTCTCCAGAAAATGATTTCTTAAATCCGAATATTTATTTGGATGAAAGACTAAAAGTCTAAATGAGACAAATATGTGTCTCATTCTCAAGAATGACAGGTCACGGAAAATGTCAGAGCTAGTTATGCTCTATAATGTTGAAAAAAAATCTTATGTTCAAAGTTTAGAAAAATTCTCCCAAGATTAGTCTTGTAGATCCAATCAACATTTGCATCTGGAAGGTTAATATAAGATAATGTTCTTACCACTTATGAGATGTTCTATGTACTCCGCCCAACTAATCTTGCAAAACAAAATTTATGACTAATAAGAGCATGTGCAGTGTGGTGAGAGATTTAAATAAAGCTCTCATAAAATAATATTATTATTTTGTGTGTACTTTATTATGAAAACTTTTTACAGATATTTTATTTCCATTGGTGAGTCTCTCACCAAAAATCTCTCACTAATATAATAATTATTTTTTCAAAAAAAAGTACAATATTTATTGTAGTTTATTATTTGTAATATAATTTAACTTGAAATTATATTTTATATTTTATTTTAAATTAAAGATTTTTAAATAATATCTTTAAATTATATATATCAAATTATATTTTAAATATATTCAATTTTATGAATTAGTTATATTCCCTTGTTTATATAATCTGTAATAGTAACAATAATAAAACCATAAATATTATTAATTAAAAATAAAATTAAATAACATAAATTCTTAAAAAAAATTAAAATGCAAAAAATACATAATAACATATAAAACCATGATCAAAGATATAATAAAAGAGATGAAGTCTCTATATATAGGGAACAATTTTTTTTTTTGGTCAACATAATAAACTATTATAATATATAATTTTATAACTATCAAAATATATTTTAAAATTTTCGAATCTCAGATATTTTAGTTATATATTTTAAATAAGCGTTTTAACAAAAATAATATTAAAATTTTATTATTATAATTTTAACTAATATTAATTAAAATAATATTAATATATAATTTAAAAATTCATGCATAATGGAACTTGTTAGATAGGTAATTTTATTTTATGATTTCTAAAAAAAAATAAAAGAAAAATAATAACATATAAACTATTTAATTAACTTTTAAATTATTAGGTATTTGATTTATCCTAATAAAATTTAAACCATTTACAAAATGACATCTATCCCATATAAGAGGCTCTCATGAGGTTCTCAAAGTCCCTCATATGAGAATCGAATCTCATGCACTTTTTAGCTAAAACATTAATTTAATATTTTTTATTGTTTTTAATTGTGAAAGACTTATTGAGAGACTATAATCATGCTCTAAGCATTATTAAATTCTGCCTTAGCTCTATCAATGTGACACATCAATTTACTTTAGTATTAAGTTTTAATCAATGGAAAATACAAAGAAATATTTACCCCCATAGAAACCTTCACCAAAGCAATCGACTTATTTATTAATGTATGGAAGTTCTATTGCTAATATCCGTACGACAAAATGGAAGATATGCTAAATGACATTAGGTTACTCGAGAGAGTATTATTTCTTTCTCATGCATACGTTATTAACATATGATATCATTTTTTTCGCAAAGCAGAAGAACCTCAATGTAATTTCATACTTGAAATAATCCGAAAATGTGGGAAGGCGTTCTGATAAGTTTGGAGGAAACCTTAGTAGTAAAATAGTTTCTCTCTCAATTTTATTCATTAGCCAATATGCTTATTTATACAAATATCATAACTTAATTAACAAGTTCTTTACATATATGATAATAGAAAATCTACTAATTTAATAATAAGAATATATTATACAAATGTTAACTTTCCTTTCAAGTCGATCTCGTAATCCCCGAGATCTCCTAACACCCTCCCGGCCCGCAAACTCATACGTGGTAACATGTATGAGATTGGACAATCATCTTCACGGTCTTCATACCAACTATAGGGTTATCAATGGCGTTTATAACTCGCCATAAGGTCATCAATTCAATGGAGGATACTTTAATAGTTGTGTATCTCCAACGATTTTAGATCGCAAGTCTTGGTTGCTTTTCGAACTTCTTGTTCATGAAGAAACTTGTGTAGTAGTCATGGTCGAATTCGAATTCGTCACCGCCGGATCAGCATCGTATCCGTCAGAATCATTTTCGTGGCTTCCATCTTTTTCGTAGTTAGACGAAAAACCACATGAAGACCAGTTAAAAACCAAACATAACCATATGGTTTTGTTGGTCATCATCCTTACCAAAGTAAATCGTTTGTTTATATCATCTTTTGTAGTGAGTGATATGAACAACGTCTTCTTCTTCAGGATTTCTTCTTCTTCAAATAACTAGCAAGTTTTGCTAATTAATAAAAAATCAATCGAGGTCATTAACTGACCCAATTCAACAACGTAATTCACCGACATGATGAACACGTCTCTCTTCTCTTTTTTTTTTTTTTTATAACAAATAAAATCTATACTATATAAAAGTCGAGGCTATAAGCTCCTGAGGCCGTCCACGTAAGGTTTTAAACGACCAATCGGGATTGGACATGCATTAATTAACATATTTTGATTATGATAATTTTCTATATTAAAGTTTTAGTAAAAAGGAAAAGAAAAACAATAAGAGAAATATTTGAAAATATAGAAATATTTCTAATTATAATCTTGTGTTTTTTGAAAATATAGAAATATTTCTAATTATAATCAAAATGTCAAGTTTTAATTTTTAAAGATTATAAATTTATATAGAAATATCTAAAAATATGAAACAATTCTGAATATAAATTTTGTTATCAAATACATAAAATGAAAATAATAAAAAATGTAAATATTTTTTGACATTAGTTAATATTTTTTGACATCACGTTAATTAAATTATAAAATTATAATATTTTATATATTAATATATTTATGAGAAAAGAAAAAAAAATTATATATGCAAAGAATATAAATGTCAACTTTTGAAAAACAACATATGGAAATAAGAAAATCAAAATATACAAGAAAAAGTAAATTTTTGAAAAACAATATATGGAATACGTTAAACTTATATTCTTATTTTGTTAATTTGCTAATTTTCCAACAAAAAAAAAGAATATTGACAAAAAACATATTCGATTAACTCTAGATCTTTTCAATATAAATAATAACCGGAGGCATCTGATTTGATTATAATTTTTAAGCTATATATTTCAAGCCGTTAGTAACAATTAGGGTTGGTTAGTACTTTTAATGGTAAAAAAAGTCGAGGCTATAAGCTTCTGAGGCCGTCCACATGGGATTTTAAACCACCAATCACGGTTAGACATGTCATTAGTTAACGTTTTTGAAATTATTATTATTTTCTATTTTTTTTTAAGATTTTTGTATAAATGGAAGAAGCAACATATATAAATAAGAGAAATATTTGGAAATATGGAAAATTTTCTAAATATTTTGTCATCAAAATACATAATATAAAAATTATCAAAATGTAAACTATCTTTTTTTAAGTTTATACAATTTTAAACGAAATACAGAATTTATTTTTAGTCTTACTACATTTATTAGTAATTTATCTTCAATAACAATAGCCATTTAATCACAATAGATATCTCATTGAACGATATTTTAAAAATTTATGACTTTTATTTTAAAAGTATTTAAAGTTAGAAAAAAAATACGACAATATATTGAAGCAAGATGTATATAAATTTTGTTATTATAATACATAAAATAATTCATATTAATCTCAAAAATTTGATTATATTGTCATATTTTCTAAACAACCAATCGTAATTAGTCATCATTAATTAACATTAATTGGGATAACAATATTTGAATTGTCGGTAACAGTTAGGGTTGGTTACTACTCTTTATTAGGGATAACAATAGCCCACATTGAAAGTTGAGTAAAATCTTAAATGCTATATATAAGATATGGACATCTCCACTCATACTCAATTGGTTTTGAGTTCGAAGCCCAAAGTCTAATATGGTATCAGAGCCCGATCCGCAAATGCTCAACCCAATCCACATCGGCCTAACCAAGTAATTGGTCCGCCTATCCATGCCCGAACATACCGAGATCAATGGGTAAAAGAGCCATCATCTCGAGCGGGCGTATAAGGGATAACAATATCCCACACTGGAAGTTGAGTAGAATCTTAAGTGGTATATATAAGATATGGGGCTCTTCACTCATAGCCAATGGGTTTTGAGTTGGAAGCCCACAGTCTAATACTCTTAATGGTACATATTATATTTTTTCCATCGCTTTTGCCACTTGAAACAATATTTGGACTTCTATTTTTTTTTTCCTCTCATACTCACAATTTAATATATTTATCTTTGCTTTTGTCGCTAATAAGTCATAACCATGCTTTTATGCTAAAATGTTAATATATATATTATGATTTTTTTTTTATTCTCATCATTGATTGTTACGAACGTTTTTTTTGTGTGTGTATGATTCACTCGACATTACATCCACACCTAATGGATCTAACTTTCCTCCTTCCGAGACGCTATATCCCATAGAGATTAACAACTTTATTACTTGCATGTCTGCACCACCACCTAACATATTATGCTTCTGTTTGTTAGATTGTTTGTCATTTGAGACTGTAAGTAGTTTTTATTGTTTTGGTGAGAGTAGAACCGAAAGAGTCCAGCTAAGTTTGTGAATGGTAGATGTGCTAATGGAATAGAGAATGAAATAAAGGAAAGGAGTGCTTGCAAAAAGATAGAAAGAGTGATACCTCTCCGGAAAAAAATTGTGAACACGAAAATTCATATACATATTGAAAAGAATGTAAAAAAATATGAATTGTTAAAAATAAATTATAGATAAGCTTATGAGTACAGTTCTGTATAGAATCTTATATTTAGAAGAGCTACACTAACCAATACAATGAAGATAGACGAAGAACAATATTGAATTTGCGTATACCAAAATGAGAAAGCCGTCGAAGTTAGTCCCCATACAATAATAAATCTAGAAAAGTGGTGGTTGCGGTGAGAGTTGAGGAACATACATGTAAGACCGTGCAAGGAAGCTCTCTTGGGAAAAGTGTCTAAGCCAATATTGTGAAAGATGTCTATGGCTAATGAGGTAACTTATTGCGTGGTTCTTTTTTGAAACTTAGGTTGTATATTTTTTCAGTTGGATGATATCTAACCAAGAAAAAGTATGAAGACTTGTGTTGAAATTATGGAAAAAGTTTTTCTTCTTAGAGTACCAATTTCAATCAAAACATGAATTAGGAAGACGTAACAAAAGTAATAAATTTAATTGATGAGATCAGTTTCCTTGCATTATGAACAATTAACGTCAGAATTTAGGTAATAAGGGTTGATTTCCATGTAAAAAAATAAAAGAGAAAGAGAGAAATGCGGTTGACACCATAAGACAAACTTGGATTATCAAATATGGAAAGAAAGTGAGAAAACAGTTATGACATGACCTCTTTATGGCAACATTTTGTTTATATGTAGCTGAAACTTGATGGCGAGGTTTCTCACTGTGTTGGGATGAGCCATTTTTATATAAGAGATGCTCTGATGATCTTTTTAGGATGAATGAGGTAATTGTTAAAATATTATAATTGCTTTACTAATAGCAAAATCTTGAATAATATAAAACAAGTAAGAGATAATGACACATCATATTTGTAATATATTTTATACCAAATTTTATCCCATAAAACTTTTTTGCTTATTAAAACAAAATTTTAAATAACGTAAATGATACTAAAAATATAAATAAGAACATTTATGTTAAAAAAAGAATAAATAATAAATATTGTAGTATTCTTTTATTAGTAATGTCAATGTATATATAGCTACTTAAATAAATACTAAAACCAAAAATATATTAAATCAATCGATAACAACAAACCCCCGCTTAATCCCTAGTAGAAATAAAAGAAAATCAATGAAGTGTGTTTGATTTTCCTAAACAAAGAAACGAAGCTTAAAAACTTTTTTTTTTTTTTCAAACGCGGAAGCTAATGTAAAAGAACTATAACCCACATGAATATGATCAAAGCTCTGATACAATGATAAGTTTGGAGGAAACCTTAGTAGTAAAATAGTTTCTCTCTCAATTTTATTCATTAGCCAATAGGCTTATTTATACAAATATCATAACTTAATTAGCAAGTTCTTTACATATATGATAATAGAAAATCTACTAATTTAATAATAAGAATATATTATATAAATGTTAACTTTCCTTTCAAGTCGATCTCGTAATCCCCGAGATCTCCTAACACGTTCCGACAATAAATTAACTTCTTTAAATCATCAGTGATATTTAGGAAGAGTCTATCTTGTTAAATTATTTAGGAAGAGTTTACCTTGTTAAACAATTTTTTTTTTTTTTGTGACAGATCTTTCGCAACACAAAGGAGGGCGAAGGACGATTTTGAAAATGTCAAAGAGATTTCAAAAGTCCAGCAATTGATCCCTATGCATCGTGGAAGAGAATCCGAAATCAACTTGATTCTTAGCTCTGTACTCTCAAGATTTGGATTTTTCTCTCTCAATGCTTATTCTCTCTCTTTAGATACAAATTGAACTGATAAGGAGAGAAGAACATAAATAAACATCAAAGTAAGTTAGTCATATGTTCGTTTGTACATATGGATACATCATCTAGATGATCAAGTCAGATGATTCATCTGGATGCAGATGATAGATGATGTTCGTTTTTGATAATTTTAGGGAGCAATTAGATGGAGTTGGGTGAATTTTATAAAACTCATCTTGAAAATGTGTTAAATCCGGCTGAGTCGGCTAAAGGAAGTTCAGCCAAAACTAAAAAATATCTAAAATACCCTTGCTTAATTTAAAGAATTACAACAAACCTTATCTTCTTCATCCTCTCTGATTATATTTAAAGAATTACAACAAAAACTTATGTATGTTCAATTATGTTTTACGATATTTAGCTCTAGCTACGTGAGCCCGCATCTTGTTTGTTATTGTTCTAAAATCACTAGATTTTAACCCGCGGTACACCGCGGGATGATTTAATTTTAAAGTTAGTATAAAAATATTTTGTAAATTGTATCTCCTTATAACATATATTTATATTATAGTTTACAATTGTTATTAATAAACTGAGGATTTAACCCGTATTAAAGCGGTATATAAATATTGATTCAAATTCGTCCGCCATATAAATCATTTTCGAAATATAACCCATTCCGTAATTTCTTAACCCGTTCTGTGATTTGTATTAAAAAAAATAAGGATTAAATCCGTATTGAAGCGGCGGATTAATGATATTTTAATCTTTTTATTATTGTTGATTCAAAAACCCGTCCCGCCAAACCCATCCCGCCAAAAAACTCATTTATTTTATTAATGTTCTTATTTATGATATGATTCTGAATCATTGTCTAAATATTTTAATCGATATAGAACGTTGAACACACATTTTCGTCAATTAGATAATATATGTCCGTTTTTAAAATTTCGAATCACAGTATATGTAGAAAAAAATTGATTTTTTTTTTTACTTTTTGTATTATATGATGATTCAAAACAGTTAAAAACAAATCAAACAAAGATGATAGGAGAATCATAATTATAAATCTTAATCAAATCTTCTAAAAATCTAAATTATTAAATATGGAATATCCGGTGTATGAGTTGGGTTAAATATAACCCGACCCAACAAATTTTTTGTGAAAGAATTTTTAAAATGGATCGGATATCCGATATACCCGAAAGCTTTTTTACCCACCCGTCACAAAAAGTGCTGCGATTATACTAGTATAGATATATATGAAAGTTGGTAAACTCTCTCCATCCTTTTGCCACGTCGGCAATGGAGAGAGTGTCACATGTCATATCAGCATATTATATTTATTATTTAAAATTATTTAGTTAAGAATTTAAATCATGCATTAATTCTTACTTATATAAAAATTGACATATATTAACTTATTAACCAAGTAATTTCAATTTAATTAGTTACAAAAGTATATTAAAATCATATAGAAATTAAATTATTTAAAATTTTCTGTATAAATTGTATAAACTTATGCATAAACATAAAATCAATGGAATTTTAATTAAACTTTAGATTTTATTAACGTATAAAACTTAAATAATATGATATTAGAATTTCTTTCATGTTTTCATATACTAAAATATACTCCCTCCGTTTCAAAATATAAGGCATTTTAGCTAAAAGCACGCCGATTAAGAAGATCTATTTTCTAAGTTTAGCCAGTCATAAAAGAGACTGCATAATAGAAGTAATCATAAAATATTAAAGTAATATATAATTTACATAGAAACTTGAAAACGACTTATATTGTTTAACAAAAAAGTTTATCCAAAATGCCTTATATTTTGAAACGGAGGGAGTATATAGGATTAGTGACAATGAATATTAGTTGAATTTATGGTTTATTTTAAGGTAAATATAAGATACTAAATAAATACTACTTTTTCGTTTATATAAAACTAGATAAGGCCCGCGTAAATACGCGGGTTAGAAAATAAAATAAATATAATTTTTATCGATAATATATAAAATCTAAGTAATAACCTATATAATTTTTTGATCTTATATATGGTAATTTTTTTAAATCAGATTTGAACCTCACATATTCTTTTCCAATACAATTTAACTATCTATACCATCATAATAAACCATAATTTAATATTTATGCACTTAATGAATTAGAGCTAAAAAATTATATCAAACACAATTTATACATAATATCAAATTTATATCTTTTTTTGACATCAAATCTATATCTTAGTTAGAATAAAAATAATTTAGAAATTAACAAAACAAAATTATTAGAAAATTAAAATATAATTCACAAAGAAAATTGGAAATCCAACAATTATCTTTTCTTCGTTTTAATTTGATAATTAAAAAAATATTTATTTACCTTTTTTAAATCTAAGTATATATTTTAGATTTGGAATTTTTCATATTTATGTTAACATAATGTCAAAATCTAATTGGTTGTAATTTTTTACACTTGTCAAAATCTTATTGAAATACTTGCAACATGTCGCGATCTTATGAGTTATTAACTTTGAAAACCATATTTTATATAATAAGATTACTTTTAAGATAACAAAATATATATTAAATTTGCTTTTAAGGTAAGTAATTGTAAATAAGTGTTAAACAATGTAATTAAAAAACAAAAAAATAGAATTAATTATTTACTCGAGAGTTAGAGGAATACATCAAAATGATTATTAGCAAAATAATACCAAAAGGACTATTTATCAAATTAACTCAATCAATGTAAATTGCTATGACTGACAAATTATGCATAGAAAAACCCGCACGTTGTGCAGGTATTAGCTAGTCTAAATTAATTGTCGTTTCCTTATTCTCATGCTCTTGTGTGTTGGAAACCTTTAACCCCACTTGAAGCTAAAGTCTCAAGCTTTAATTACCTTTTATTCCATGTGGATTTAATGTTTTCCTCAAAAAATATCTCATCTTTTTTCCAATCCCAAAGAGGGACAGTGCTCTATGCCTCTAACTATCTACATCTATACATCGTATTATTTGGTTTAGCCTTTATTCGCAACGAACAACACTTTACTTGGTTTAAAACCGAGTAAGAACTTCTCATGCACATACTTAACATTGATACCAAAAAAAAAAACTTCCGATGCATGCTAAAACCATTAGTCTTCTTCCTTAACTCCTCAAGGTGAAACCTCTCGATGAGCTAGAGTCTTTAATATAGATATATTGTAGCCTTGTAGGACACTTATTCTTCACAAATGTTTTTAAATTTGTTGTAACAAAGTAGTACGACTCGATTAATTAATAACATAATTAAGTGATCGTAAATTCATCACAAAATTATTTTTCGTCGATTTCCAAATTTAAAAACACGAATCCTTTTTTAAAGACATATATAGTTTTATTTAGAATTAGATCAAGGTAAAAGCAATGACTAAAATCATGCCATGTTATGATAAGCGGATAATACAAGATCCTTATTTAGCTGAAGGTACATAAAATGAAAGCAATTCAATGCTTAATATTATTATTTTTTGAACTTAGTCTGTAGTTCCATGACAGTCGTAGCGTCCAACTGGAACGCCGTTGCAAGAACATTCGGGTCTATTGGTGGGTTAGACCCAAACACGGTGTCGGCTATAGTGATGACCCCTGGGTTTTGGCTGCTCAGACCAGCGAATGCAACCGCGGGATATTTCCCAACGTTCGCTTGGAAATGAATGAGTCCCTCTGGAAACACGAATACATCACCCTCGTAGAGTACTTTAGTAAAGAGCCGATTGTCTGTGTTTGACGTGACAAACCCAACTAAAAGTGTTCCATACGCGACATACAAGATCTCGGAGGCACGTGGATGGGTGTGAGGTGGGTTCTGTCCGTTTATTGCATAATCAATACGGACAATGGAGATTCCAAGGGTGTTTAACCCTGGAATCTGGTTAACATTGACGGGTGTCACAATAGACCCAGTTTTTGGATTAGGTGTTCTTGGTTTGTTAATCCCTGAGATAAAGAAGTCATCTACTGTGACGAGCTTCGGGTCCTTGCAGAACTTTCCGTTCACAAATACTAAAAATTATACCCAAATAAAAAAGATTGTTAGACCATCTCCATCCATTAGACACTGTGTGGGTGTCTCAAAAATATTATTTTAATCATTTTATAATAAATAAGTTATTTATTTAAATTATAAAAAGAGAATTTGGCCAATAATAAAAAGACAAGTGGAGACACAGATTCTCAAAGTTTCTCAAAACAGAAACGTGTCTACATTTTCTCCTACATTTTTATTATTTTTTATTTTTTTAATCTTGAGACATTCCTCAAGACACTACTGTTGGAGATGCTCTTAGAACGTAATGTTTTCTCCTATATCGGTTATATGTATTAAAAAGTACATTAATAGTTATGTTAATCTAAAGACTTTCTACTCTTTTTGTGTTGGGTTGTTGAACCATATATATATAAGGAGTCTAGGGTTTGTAAAGTTTATTATCATATTAATAAAAGAAACCTTAGACAAAATGTATTCGCTTCAAGATATTTAACGTTTTCTCTATTATTTACCCGAAATCACACAAGTTAAAAATGATTAGGGAGTGAACATATACATACCGCCATAAGCTGGGGTGTCCACCCCGACGCAGAAGTCCTGAAGAGGGCTTGGGTCTGAAGCCTTGGTTAATGAAAGTGTTATAGCCAAGAGAGATAGAATTGCAAGAAATGAGAGACTTTTCATGGTTATATATTAGTTGAAGCAATTCTTCGAAGAGAGGAAAGGTTTTTGTTTAGGATTTAATGGAGAGTTGATAAACTTATGAGACATAGATCTCAATTTATATACAAGTTTAGGAGTAGAACTAGTCCGTATAAATGATGAAATTGATGTTCGAAATGGGTAAAAAATTATCTAAATTGTGTTCCCTCCACAAACTATGTTTATGGTGATAATATTTAAATTGAAACACGTAAGATTGGAATAAAAAATATATATATATCAATGAAATATGATGCATTTGAAGTTTGAAATGGCAAGTGTTGGTGATTAACAAGTTATACATATCAAAGTTTTGTTTAATAATTCTTCGTCAACTTGTTATGAATTACACTTGTTCACTTTAATAATCTTTAAAGGTGTTGTCAGCGCCATGCTCGGGAGGGGAGAAATGGCGTTTTTCAACCCGAACAAATTGTAAAATGCGTTTTTATACCTCAACAAAGATACAATGTTTTTTTCAACCTCAACTCTAAAAACATTCAAAACAACTACCCAAACTATTAGATTTTAGCGTAAAACTACATTGACTTATACAAAATTAGTCAACTCATTATTTTCGCTCATTTAGATGACACGATGACGACGATGTATCATTTTATCTTAACTAAATGACGTTATTTTAATCATTTGAATCCATAAACTCAACCAAACAACGTTGATTTGGTCATTTGAGTCTATAAACTCAATAAAGCGACGTTGTTTAGTTAAGACAAAATAATAGTACTGATAAAGATAAAATAACACTTCGTTGTCATCGTGTTGAGTTTATGGATTCAAATGACCAAAAAAATGTTACACTTCGTCACTATTGTGTCGTTTAAGTGAGCAAAAACAAACGGTTGACTAATTTTGTTTAAGTCAATGTAGTTTTACGTTAAAATCTATAGTTTGGGTAGTATTTTTGAATTTTTGTAGAGTCGAGGTTGAAAAAAGCAATGTATCTTTTTGAGGTATAAAAATGCACTTTGTAATTTGTTCAGGTTGAAAAATGCCCTCCGAGCGGTTGTTTTACTTAATATTGTTGTGGTCAGTTATTTGAGCAATGAACAAACATAAGAAAAATAATAATATCAAAGAAAAAAGCAAACATAAAATTAAACTAAGCAAACAAGATTTAAAATATAAAATTATTTTTTTTATTGAATAACGTAAAAGGGTGGAAGCATCCGTGATCCATTGGTCATGTGTTTAAAAGGCTTCTACACCAGGTGTACGATTTGAATCCCAGATAACGCAATTTCTTACAAATTATTGGTACAAAATTTATCAGAGGTTCCAGAATACATTGTAGGCAGAGTCATATGTAGAATGGTATGTCGTGGATCGGAGTATTGCAGGGAGAGTTGTGTCGTTGAATCGATATTCATGGAAACTGTTAATCGTTATCGCATATTTGGCTGGTAGTCTAAATAATTTTGGCTAGTGAATTTCAGGAAAATTTTGGAGTCCCTACTTACATCATAATAAGATTAGATCAAATATTTTTTTATGATGATGTCACGTATAGCAAAAAAAAAAGAATAACGGATATACACTTCAATTAAGGCTTTGTCAAAGATTCTTACAGAACATCAAACAAACATTGCTCACCCCTAAGCAAGTGTACATTAAGTGTTGCCAAACATAAACCAAATTGTAAACGTGATTGCTCACCGCTAAGCAAGTACGTACACATTAGTTGTTGGTTTTGTTGAATTAATCTTCGGTCAACTTGTCATTTATCACACTTGCTGCTATTCATTGACTTGAACAAAAGGTCAATGTGAATTTGTTGAGATATAATAAAATGTATAAATAAATAAAAAGTTTTGTTTGATTGTTTCTGTACTTGATAAAACACGTACGACTATGAGTCTAAATAGTAACATCAAAAAAATATTCAGCTGGATTCAGTCCGATTCAGCAATTCCGCAGTCACCATTTGCATAAAACTAAATTCAGCTGAATTCAGCCAGATTCAACAGTTTTTTTTTAATACTAACAGATATGTAGATACAGTCATTTCTGGTAAAAATTTGGATAATAACGTGTACACACATCGAATTGATATATTTTGGATTATCAAAAATTACACATCAAATTTATATTTTAAAATAAATCAGATTATACAGATGCGATATATGAATAATTCAAATACATAAAACCACTAATAAAATAGGCAAGAAGCGAATTCATGTTCGGATAACTATAGATGATTTTGGATAATTTTATTAATTTTTAGATAATTTAAAATAATTTAAAAATTTCATAAAAACAACTCACACCTATGCTAAAATATTATTTAAAATAGATTTTTTAATAATTTTCTTAATTTTTCAGGTCATATTATTGATTAAACTACTAGATAACAATTAAAAAAAAAACTCAATTATATAATCTTATTATATTATCATGTTAATTTTTTAAATTAATCTTCCAATAATGCTTTGACAAAGCTTCTTTCATTAATTATTTACATATATTTAAGGGAAATTGTTAAAAATACCCCTTTTGGTGTGCCCCTTTTCAAAAATGTCCCTTTTAGATGTCCATTTTCAAAAATGCCCCTTTTTAAATCTGAAATTTTTATAAAGTTTTATTAGGTTTATAAGGTACTTATGGTTTGTAACTACTACTTGAAGACTCGATCCAAGTATTTATAAGGTTTTATAAGGTGTTTTAAAAAGTTTTACAAGTTATTTTAAAGGATTTTTAAGGTTTTTCAAAGGTTTTACAAGATATTTTAAAGGTTTTTAAAGGTATTTAAAATGCATTTATAAGGTATTTATAAAGTATTTATAAGATTTTAGATACATAGAAATGTAGTTTGTGTATGTTTTAATAATATTACATACATATTTGGGTAAATCTTATATTTTTAAGAGCATTTTTTATAAGGTTTTAAAAAAGGGGTATTTTTTAAAAAGTGGCATTTTTGCAAAAGCTCCTATTTTTAATAGTTCAAAAATTATTTATATTTGTAATAAGTTTAGATAATTTAGTATTTATTTATTAGTATAACAATTAATTAGACCATTTGATGATTTTATTTATTTTATTTAGATATCTTCTTTGGTACTCTATTAATATTCATAATTATTTGATGATATTTTTTCAGTTAAAGTCTTAATTATTTTGACAGATGGTACCTAAAATCACAAAATAATTCAGCTAGATTCAGCAGTTACCATTTAGAAATGTAAAAATACAGCTAGATTCAGCTGAAAATCACTAAAAATTCAGCCAGATTCAGTAATTCAGCTGAATTCAGCCAGATTCCTCGATTACCATTTAGACCCTATATCAACCAACTTATAAAAAAACCTAAATTGATTTTCTATAGTTGAATCCATGAAGAGCCGGTCCACAATGAAACACTTATAACAATGGTTCAACTGCCAAGCGGATGTAAGATTAAGATCCATCGATTTAATAAGTTTCTATAGAGGTCATTGATATATAGTATTTTCTACTTTTCTTAAGTTTTCCTAGTCTCCTAGAGGTCACTACATATATTTTTTTTTGTGCGTATAGTGTAACACAATTGAATTTGAAGTTAGATTATGACTCAACAACAACATTGATACATATATACTATTCAGCCACATGACCTTGTCATACATTTTTTGTGTTATATATTCTTAATGTTGTCGACTAATGTTGCTATATAATTTTCTAATATGCTATATATTTGTACGGCATCTATTAATCAAAAGTTAACGAGATTAATTAAGCAAACACAAAATAGGAAAACGCATCAAAAACATATGAGAGATCATATTTGAATATCATAATGATGATACTCATGGGCATAGTCAATTTACATTGTAGAAACTAGAAAGCTAGACTTGTCTTCTTTATCATCAAAAAGAAAGACTTGTCTTCTTTATCATCAAAAAGAAAGACTTGTCTTCTTTAAAGAGTACTTGGCCAAATTACATTGTTAAAAGACTTGTCCAAAATGAAAAAAGAGAATGTAATTGATAAGTTAAAAGAGATAACAATCCAGCTAATTCTGGCTAAAACATTATCATTACAACTATATGTCTATACTACTTACTTCATGACTTCATGACAAAAAAAAAAAAAAAAAAAAAAAAAAAAAAAAGATAATGGCCCATGCAGGTTTCGAACCTGCGACCTTCGCGTTATTAGCACGACGCTCTAACCAACTGAGCTAACGGGCCATTTGTTAGAGAGCTAAAATCATTTTAACTAAATTTTAAATCATCATTTTTATGCAGATTATTAGTCAAAAAAAGATGCAAGAAATGTTGAAATTATTTTTCATACGGGTTATTAGTCAAAGTATATGCAAGAAAAATGTGGAAAAGTTTGGGATATATCATCATGCATGGTTGGTGATTATATGAGTATCTTTTGACTTCTCTCTCCATTAGAGGATTCACGATCTTCTTCCTCCATTCTTTTTCCAGGTAAACCAAGAACACAATTTAGATCATATACATATGCTTAGATTTGTACAATTAGGACATGTATATATTGTTCTTCTAATATTAGAGTTTTTATCTAAACAAACTAGAAATTAAAGCTCATTTCTTGGAGAATTTTGAAGAGCTGAATTTTTCAATTTCTTGTTTGATTAAAGATTTGACAGAACTACAAAATAGGGTGGATTTGAGAAAGTTTGATGTTGCAGATTAATCAAATTCATAAGTTTTTGTCTACGTGTCCAAAAATCCTGGAGAGTCCAATCTTAAGAGTTTTCAGAGGCGAGTTTTGAGATGTTCCTTTTGATGTGAACAATTATGTTATTTGAACACTTTGAACCACCTGATATTGGAGATCATGTTTTTGTTCAGTTTCTGAGTGTAATGAATTCTTGAATTGTCAAATTTGATTTCCAATCTAGGAGTTCCTTTTGTTGTCTTAAATTGAAGATCAAGTATGTCTTGTTTTTGTTCATTTTATGAGTTTAATGAATTCTTTAATTTGATTTCTGAGTTGTGACTGAAATTGGTTAGGAACACTCATAATGGCTGAATCTGCAAGCAACACCGGTTCAAGAAAGCTTATTCAGATTGATGTGAGCTCGGATTCGGTGTGTCCATGGTGCTTTGTGGGCAAGAAGAATCTTGACAAAGCCATTGAAGCATCTAAAGATCAATACAACTTTGAGGTTACCTCTCTCACTCTCTTTTCTTTTGTTTATTTGGAGAATGATTAAGATGCTTACGGTATTCATCTCTCAAATAGATTCGATGGCGTCCGTTTTTCCTTGATCCATCTGCACCAAAAGACGGTGTGAGTAAGAAAGAGTTTTATCGACAGAAATATGGAAACAGATACGAAGGAATGTTCGCCAGAATGTCCGAGGTTTAACACATAACGATTCTTTAACATAGCTTATATGTTCTTGTTGAGAGGATCTTGAAATGATCTTTTGATTCATTACAGATCTTTAAAGGTCTTGGATTAGAGTTTGACACAGCCGGTCTCACGTAAGCACCAAGAGTTTTCTTTTATCAATCAAGAAGAGTGATTTCTTTTGTCTTTTTTTTCTTTCTTCTAAATGTTTTGTTGATAAGAACAGAGGCAACAGTCTGGATAGTCATAGACTTATACATTACACCGGTAAACAAGCGCCGGACAAACAACATAAACTTGTTGAGGAATTGTTTATCGGTTACTTCACGCAGGGAAAGTTCATCGGTGACAGGTATTTATCACAAAACTCTTGTCCTCAGAATATGTGAAACGGTTTATTTTTTGTGATAGATTAGCTTTACACATCCTTAGATGTTAAACTGGACATAAAAACTCGTTAACCTTGCGGATGATTTCAGGGAGTTTTTGGTAGAGACGGCTAAAAAGGTTGGGATAGAAGGAGCAGAAGAATTCCTCTCAGACCCCAACAATGGACTCACAGAGGTGTGTTTTCTGAATCATGTGATCATTAGAGTTATTTTCTATAGTATAATGTTGATTGATCTGTTTTGAACTTTTATATAATGAAAGGTGAAAGAAGAACTGGCAAAGTATTCTCGAAATATCACCGGAGTTCCAAATTACACTGTAAGTTTTCGCGCTACAGATCGATCTCGTTTGCTAATTTTAATGTGTCCTTATTCTTCAAGTCTTATATCCATACTTTGTGTTGTTTGGTCAGATCAATGGGAAGGTGAAACTAAGCGGCGCACAACCGCCCGAAACATTCCAGAGTGCGTTTAAAGCGGCCTCAGCTTGAAACACAAACAGTGAACTCAAGAGCTGTTGAAGTTTTACATCTATGGAGATAGTCTGTTTCTGTTGTTTGAACTTTAAGTTATTGACTTTTCAAGAAGTTGGTGTAATAAATTACTAAAACAGATTTGTTCTGTGATGGTTTGTCTAAATAATTCAGAGAAGTTGATTTCAAACATTCTTCTTCTTCTTCTTGCTCTGATCTCAAAGCAATGTTCTAGATAACAAATTCTTGAAAGATTCAAACTATTTTTCCTTCCAATCATTGTCTTGCTTATACATGTATATAGAGATATATGAGTCTATAACATTAAGAGACATCACATATTTACTGTTAAAAGGCATCTGGATATTCACAGAAGTTTTATGTACAAGTGATTTCTCTCTGTTTATTCTATTGAGCAGGACTCAACTCCTTTATGTTCTTTGAGCAAGTCTTTATTACAATGCTAAGAAGTTTCATTTTCATCAAATGCCATCACCTGAAAGATTAGATTGAAGAAATTAGGTCATGGTTCTCTTATATGACCAAGAATAGTATGAGAAATGGACCACTCTATTCATGTATGTAATAAATGTAAATGCTTAAAATGGAGATAACAATTTCTTATACAAATTGATGCACTTTGAATATCTATGAAGGAGATTGATGGAACATTCGACCAAAACTGGGTTTTAAAGTTTTGTAGAAAGCGACGAGTTACCTTTCCACAGACGGGGCAAGTTTCACTTCTCTCCATCCATTCATAAATACAGCTAAGGTGGAAATGGTGAGAACACTTGGTGATTATCTTTGGATTCTCCGGAGTGTAATCTGCACATTGTAAAACAAAGAATACTGAAACCAAAATTACCTTAAAGCACTCACAAAACGATTGCTTTATCTACGTAGTTTCATTCTACGAAAAATTTGATGTAAACTATCCTAAAGAACTAAAGACTATTAGTGGCCTAATTGCTCAGGACTGCATTAAATGAAGAAATGAAACCAATAAAGCAGAGAAAGCAACTTATAAAGATCTACTAACAACCTAACACACTCTTTATCACGCGGTAATAAGCCAAAAAACCCTGCATATAGTGGGTTCAAAGAGAATTTTACCATCAAGGCAGGTTGGACAAATATCTTCATCATCTGATTCTGCATAATGAATTTCTATCCCGGGCATTGTTTTCGACTTTGCAATGGTTGATGAACCTTTTGAATACACTTCTTTCGAACCATCATCAGAATCAGACTTACTCCATTTGGTTCCACCACCACCCAAAGATTCAGAACTCATTTCAGTATCACCTCTTAAAGGTTCCGATTCTTCACCTGAGTGGCCTGAGCCCTTAACAAAACGAAAGTACCTAGGATCAGCATCGTAAGGCAACGGTGTTGGAGGAGAATGATACACACTAGATAGAGAGTCATCGAGTGCAGTTGTTGAATTCATCACTGTAGCAGTCTCAACAGTTGAAGGTATTGGATGCATTCCCCCTCTATTAAACAAGGACGCATACTGCAAAAAAGGTAGAACGTAAGTTTCAACAAAACCGAAAACCGTATCATTGGTAATCCACTACAAAGGAGCACAAGATTCGAAGACGAAGGTGAAGAGGAAGATACCAAATCCACGAAACTCTGGAGGAAGCAATTTACGCAAGGACAGTTCCCAGTCATTGAAGTGTTTGGATTGACATAACTCTCAAAGAGATCAACTTGAAAGCAACAACAGAAAGCACCCATATCTTCAAAATCAAAACTTCAAACCTCAAGTTATCAAATTTCGAAGAGAATGAGAGAGGAAGCCAATTTCACAGAAGAGTTTCACTAGCTCCCGTAAACCAGAATCCTCTCTCTTCTTGGTGTAAAGTAAAACTCTTGTTCCTACTCAGTTGAACTACCTGTAAGAGAAACAGATAAAAATTTTACATTTCAAAAACCAAATGAATCACTAGAAGAAATTAGCTAATACACATCACAAAACAATGCAACAAAATGATTCCAAAACCTCAAAAAAAAAAACTCAGCTTTTTACAAGAATCATTGTTTAATGTACAAGCAAAAGCATAAACCTTTCAGATAAAAACCATCAATCCGATGAAACCCACAAAACCAAAACTTGAAGGATCATAAGTAAGCTCATCGATCAACATGAAATGATCAGTATCCAAATCCTTTGATCATCAAATAGATTTTTTTTTAAAAAAAGAAGAAAAAACAGAGGAATCGATGAGTACCTTTGTGATAGAGACCTGAGAAAATCCAGAAGCAAGAGAAAAAATCAATGAGAAAAACCTGGAATTTTCCGGTATTAGAATCTGTTGACTAATTCTTAATTGAAGATTTTTGCAGGTTCGTCGAAAAAGTGCAAAATAATTTTCCAGAATAATAGCGATCCTTTCTCTCTCGTCTTTGTCTTCTTCTACCTTTTGATCCATATAGCCTTTTTGGTCGAAATTTAACCAGGGGAAAACAGAAAGTTTCAGAAATCGTCCCTCTATTTTTACATATATTAAGTTTCGACCCTAAACGTTTTGATTTTAACTTTAAGCTATTCTATTCTTGTTTTGACCCATACATTTTTTATACTCTGTTTAACTTTTTCATCAGTTCCGGCTAGGCCTGGGCGTTCGGTTCCATTCAGTTCTTCAATTCTTCGGTTCGAGCTCCTTAGGATCCATAAGAGAACCGAAAAAGTTTCGGTTTGGTTCGGTTCGGTTTGGATACTTAGAAGAGAACCGATAAATAACCAAACTCCAATGGATATCAGTTCAGTTCCGGTTATTTTACCCAAAATATAAAAAAAGAACCGAAATACCTAAATATCCAGAACTTTTTTGACAAAATTGTAATGGGCCAAAATATCAAAAAATTAACAAAAATCTAATGTGTCAGAGGTTGAGACAAAATGTATTGGGCTTCGATGGAGGTTTATACACAATTGACCAAACATTTTCGGTTTCTTTCGGGTACTCATGGATAGTGTGACTGAGATCCAATCGGGTATTTAGTGGTATCCAGAACCGAACTAGAACCTTTTTTCCAGTTCGGTTCATCGGTTCCAGATTTTATGCCAAGGCCTAGTTCCGGCAATGAAAATATTACCGTTCCACATTGTTGGAGTTATGGATTTATGTTCAAATTCTAAATCATATGTTTCTGTTACCAAAAAACATAAACATACAAAGTGTGGATTTGAAATAGTCAGTAACAACAAAATGTCTTTTGAGTTTAAGAACTTGTGAGTATCCTCTAATTAATAATAGTATCCTGAATATGCCCACTTTGACGAAGGAATAAGGTCAAGTTGCTCTAAACTTATCTCTACACTTGATAACCAAACAACAGAAAATTGTAACAATCTCAAAATTCTGTCTTGCTGCAGAGACCACACCTCATTATGTGAGAGAAGCCAAAGTGTTGTCTTGAATTCAGTTACCCACCTTGGCAACTTTTCTCTGCTCTGTTTGGCCCGACAATGGGCACTGCATCTCTGTCCAACTTATTGGAACCATTGTTTCTCCTGCACAATCACCAGACCACATAAAAATTTTGTTTACTCGAACGGAAATACACTTCATAACATATAACTGCCAGAAGAAGCAATGCATATACACATTAACATACTCCAATTCCATGATGAAAACGGTTGATACTCATGATTGCCTAATGAGAACTACAAGTTGGAAATGTATTACACTTTGATATGTGACAGAGCTATAAACTTAATAATCTTGCCTTCATTACCCTATATTCAGTTACCAAGAGCAAGAAAAAAATGTACCTGCAGCACTTTCTGCTGAGACCACACCAAGTTCATTCTTAGCAGTTGACAAATAGTAAGCCCGTGCATCACCAAGAGACAGCTTTAAGAGTCCAAGTTAAGGTAACTTCAGATATTATCACCTAAAACATCATATATTACTATAGACTACACCTACGCTACATTCAATTTAAACTATATAACAAGAGATATGTAAGTAAAAAGAGAAAATGAATGGCATAATGTAACAAATCTTAGAAAAGTCTTTCCTCTGTAAGCAATGTTAAGCACTGTAAAAGAAAACCTAAGTGTGAAACATAAGCGCAAGGATACAACCATAGCTCTAACAATGTCACCAGCACGAAAAGACTGATGCATGTCAACTTTATCAATCTCTGTTGCTCTAACATCTTGTTGCCTATGAAAGAGCAAACACAAGTTAGCTCGACACATAAAAGAACAAACCTTGAAAATAAACGCGAAAGAAGGGTGAGAAATTCACCTAATTACGCCGGCAAAATTTTCACGAACGGCCTTTGAACCAACACACAAGATATCAACAGCAGCCATCCGAGCCATAACTTTAGTCACCTATCAAGAATAACAGATCATAGTCATCAAACTAAAGTCTTTCTTTCAAGTATGAACATCAATGAATCCAATAAGTGCAGGACTCACTCTTGCTATGACAACAGAACCAGGCTCTGGAATAGGACCATGTGCCTTGTGACCCGTAACTTCTACAACAGCTCTCTGCTCACCATTGTTATGATTCAATAAGTTATCCATAATAATCACAAAATCAATGAGCTATGAACGATTTACAATTGCAAATAGTAACCACAAAATTCAACGACTTCTCGGAGAAATTCAGCGAGCCCAATCAATGTAACAAAAGCCGAACCTGGTCAAGTGATTCGGGAAGAGGAGAAACAATCCGACGAGTTCCTGTGAGAGAAGCGTAGATGGTGGTGTCGTTAACATAAGCTCCTTTTCCGGCTTTAAACTCAGTCGCTTTCCCGATTACATCTCCCGGCGTTACTAGCTCCGTCGTCATATTTTCAAAAATTTCCGATTTGAGTGAGTCTCAAACAAAACCCTAGTAACCTGGGGGTTTTTGATCGAGAAAGTTTCGGAAACCATCCCTTTGATTCTATAGAAATTCAATTTCAACCCTAAATGTTTGGTTATAATTTTAAATTTTGACCCATAATGTTTTGATATTAACTAATTCAACCTTGTTAGACTTAAATACCCGAATCTGACCCGGATACACCTAATACCCGAATCCGACCCGGTTATTACCCAGTTTCAACTCTCAACACTTGCAGAAAAACTCTCAAAAATTCGAGTAATTGAAAATCCAATAAACAAGCGGGACCTAAATTTTGAAATCTCTCTATCCAGATCCGTTTCTCCGTCACAGTTTATCTCTCTCCGTCACCGGAACCGGCGAGATTAGTCTTCGGGATTCCCAGATCTACTCGTCTACTTCTTCCTCCGTTCGCTGTGTTCATCGGATTATTCAATTCGCTCGATAGTTGCTGCATTTCGCGAATTGATTAGGTTAAAAGCGTCTATGTACTCCTGTTTTCTCGCTCGATTTGAGTAACCTAGGTATTTCGCTACGTTTCTGTTCTGTTTGTTTTGGATTTGAAGAAAAGATGCGAAGTGTGAGTAGAAAATTTGGAAGTTTCATGAAGATTTGAGGGATTGAGTTAGGTATTGTAGTTGTAGAGAGAATGCAGAGTTTATCGAACTCAGCTCCGACACCGGAGGCAATATTAGAATGGTTACAGAAGGAAATGGGGTATAGGCAATTAGGTCCGTATAATGGATCAAGCAAATCTCATGTTCCTTCTATTGATGCTATAAGGAAGATTTGTAGAGGGAATATGATACCTATTTGGAATTTTTTGATAAACCGAGTGAAATCGGAGAAGACAGTGGAGAGAATTAGGCGGAACATTACGGTTCATGGAGGAAGTAGTAACGCTAGCATTGGGAGTTCTGTGAATCCTGGGAAGGAGGAGAGTAAGGGTAAAGGAAGACGGAAGGAAAAGACAGTGTCTGGGGAGAGTTCGAGTTATGCAGAGGATAGAGAGGCTGCATTGCAGGAAAGGGAATTAGCTGCAAAGGAAGTGGAGAGGTTGAGGAACATAGTGAGGAGGCAAAGAAAAGATTTGAAAGCTCGAATGTTGGAGGTCTCTAGAGAAGAAGCAGAACGGAAGAGGATGCTTGACGAAAGAGCAAATTACAGGTATGATTTGAATCTTAATTTTGAACACAGTATTTTAATACATTGCGCCTCAGTTGTAAAAGACTACTATAGAAAATAACTGCACCAGTCAGCTCAAGCTCATTTAATACTTTCTCATGTTGTGGTTTTGCTTTACTATCATTAGTGTCATGTCCTCAACTGAACCATTCTAAGTACATTCTTTATGTGTACCATGATTAGCTGATTAGAGTTTTGGTGGTATTTCGATTTCCTTCTCTGTGATTTCAGGAGCCACATATATATAGCCTTGAAGTATTCTTTTTTGCTATTTTGAGTCTCCAATGATCTCGATATACCTCTAGAAGAATATGTATATGGGATCTCGTCAGGCTAGTTTGTTGCTTTAGTTTCATGGTTATGCCACATCAACCATTCTTAAGTTTGTATTTGTACTTGGCGATATTGATGTTCTATCCACCCCTTTCACGAAGATCTATCAACAGCATTTAACTCTGTTGAAATGCATTGATATTGTTGATACAATTAATGGAAATCTTTGTTTCTGTTATGTTCAGTAGATCTTTCAAATTGTTAAATGAGTTTTTTTTTTTTTTTTCCTTTTTTCAGACACAAGCAAGCATTGTTGGAAGCATATGATCAACAATGCGACGAAGCAACAAGAATATTTGCAGAGTATCACAAAAGGCTACAAGTCTACGTTAATCAAGCAAATGATGCACAGCGGTCTGTCAATTCGTCGAATGAAGTGTTAAGCAGCCTCAGTGCTAACAGTGAGAGGGAAGCTGTTTATTCCACTGTCAAAGGAACTAAGTCTGCGGATGATGTTATTCTCATGGAAACAACCCGAGAACGAAATATCAGGATAGTTTGTGATTTACTTGCATCACGCATGATTGAAAGAATACGTAACTCCTTCCCTGCATACGAAGGAAATGGAATTTGTTCACATCCTGAGCTGGAAACAGCGAAGCTGGGTTTTGAATATGATGGAGAAATAACTGATGAGATGAAAACTGTTATAGTAAATTCCCTGAGGGGTCCTCCTCTGCTGCTTCAGGCTATTGCTGCATACACTTTACGCATTAAGACCCTGATATCCAGAGAGATGGAGAAGATTGATGTCAGAGCGGATGCTGAAATGTTAAGGTGTCTCCTGAATTTCCTTCTTATGCCTTTCTCTGTTATTGTACATTCCTGATTCTGCGGGGTGTGGTTCACTCAAATGCACCTTGCATGCTATTTTGCTAATTTTCTTGACACTGAAGTGGAAGATTATGAAACTCATATAGCAAATTAGTACTTATTCTTTGTATTTTGATCTGGTCGATATGAGCGGTTCCTGGACTTCCTTGAAAATATGTTTGATCAATGATAATTGTATCTCTATCTCCTATCAATTTTTCAGTTTTCACTGAGTGAGACATCTCTGCTTTCTTAAGTTTTTGTTCCAGGGTTGCTTTGGACTAACATAAGCAATTGGATGTCAATCTATTTACAGGTATAAGTTTGAGAACAACCGGGTAACAGACAATTCTTCTTCTGATGTGAGCTCGCCTTTGAGTTATCAGTTTAATGGTAATGGGAAGATAGGCACAGATACTCATTTCCAGGGATCTAACAACCAGCTCCTTGAACGGCAGGTTGCTTTCTTTGTCTAGTTTTGCTGGTTTCTTCCTTTTAATATGAACATATAGAGAAAGCAGAGTTAAAATTCAAATTTAGCAAATGAATACTTTAGACAGATATATTCGGTTTGTTTTTCTAGTACTGTATTTGTATGTGTTGCACTGTATGGCCATATGTTTAGAGTCTGTTTATCTTACCTTTCACCTGTGCTACGTTTTTCAGAAAGCGCATGTTCAACAATTTCTGGCTACTGAAGATGCACTAAACAAAGCGGCTGAAGCTCGTGATTTATGCCAAAAATTTATTAACCGTTTGCATGGAAGTGCTGATGCAGCTACACATTCGTTTGCTGGAGGCACAACACAGAATGGTAGCAATCTTAGACAATTTGAGGTAGATGCCAGATTCCCTTGGTTTCTTTAGTTTCAACCTTTCACTTGAATCTAAAAAGACTAATCATGTTCCTATACAAATCTTACAGTCAAAACATTCTTATACTTGTTATGTATCCGGGCACTGCATAACTGATTCTCAGTTATCATGAAAGTTCATTGTATGTTTAATATACATGCTGATATACTTGCTTGAACAAGCTATCAATTTTTCCTTTGCAGTTGGATGTATGGGGAAAGGAAAGAGAAGCTGCTGGTTTGAGGGCTAGCTTAAACACATTGTTATCTGAAATACAACGGCTGAATAAATTATGTGCAGAAAGAAAAGAAGCTGAAGATTCCTTGAAGAAGAAGTGGAAGAAAATTGAGGAATTTGATGCTCGCAGATCCGAACTTGAAACCATATATTCAACTCTTCTCAAGGCTAACATGGTAATATCCCAACTGAATCTTTCATTAAATTGTGATAATTACCATGAGTAATACTCTGTATCATGACCTTCCTTTTTATATAGGATGCTGTTGCATTCTGGAATCAACAACCACTAGCTGCAAGGGAATATGCATCAGCCACTGTAATTCCAGCTAGTGAAGTTGTTGTGGACATTTCAAACAGCGCAAAAGATTTCATTGAGAAAGAAGTGTCTGCTTTCTTTCAAAGTCCTGATAACAGTCTTTATATGCTTCCAGCAACTCCTCAGGTGTGTAAGTTGTCATATGACATTCTGATGTATTTTATCAATCCATTTCTACGTGATACAATTGTCTTTCAGTTAATTTGTAGGATATATTGAACTCATAATCGAAGACGGATATTTGTTGAATAATATAAAAACAATAGAAGTTCATATAGAAAAGTGTGGTATATGTTCAAGGTTCTTTTGGTCTGTAAATCAAATAATCATGCAGCAAAAGAAATTTTGGAGTTTATGGTTCAGGTTAAAATTTTGTTGCTTTCATAGGTGTAACAGAACTTGCAATTAGAAGACCATTTTCTTTCAACTTTGCAAACTTGCATGTAAATGCCTCGATTCTGTTTATTTATATGAACGTTTTCTTAATCAGGGACTTCTGGAGTCTATGGGAGCTAATGGATCGACAGGACCTGAAGCTGTTGCATATGCAGAGAAGAATGCTGCTCTATTAACGGCAAGAGCTGGTGCAAGAGATCCATCAGCAATTCCATCTATATGTCGCATTTCTGCTGCCCTTCAATATCCTGCAGGTAAGATTTTTTTCTTCTTTTTTAAAAAATCCAAGGACATATAGTTCATCCCTCTGGAAAAAATTTATTTGCATTGAATCATCCAAGTTTCAAGGAGCTTTTTAATGAAACTATTGCTCACTGCTTCATGAATGACAATCTTTTTCAATGCAATGCAAAATCATAAAACAAACATAAAAATAAAAAAAATAAAAAAAATCTTACCTATTACGTCGATTGAGGTATGCTATAATAGCCAAAAGGTTTAATGATGGCCACTAGTTGCATATTATGACTACGCTTTGGATCTGTTGTTGTTTTCAAGCATAAAATGGAGCACTTTTATATGATATACTTAGAAATCTTCATAGACCAAAATTCTTAGTGGCTTCTTAGTACGGCTTGCTTACCATCTATATTCTGCTTCGTAAATAGGTCTGGAGCGTTCAGATGCAAGTTTGGCCTCAGTGTTAGAGTCTCTTGAATTCTGCTTAAGGGTTCGTGGTTCTGAAGCTTGTGTTTTAGAAGACTTAGCAAAGGCAATCGATTTGGTCCATATACGGCAGGATCTAGTTGAGAGTGGCCATTCTCTGTTAGATCATGCTTTCCGTGCCCAGCAAAAATATGAAAGGTAAAGTGTGTGCCTCCGTACTCTGGTCTACATGGGCCACCATTATCTTATTTATTACCCCCACACTATCTTATGTTAACTTTCACTGCACTAATTATGAATCTTGTATGCAGAACAACTAACTACTGCCTAGATCTAGCTTCTGAACAAGAGAATACAATATCAGACCAATGGTTGCCTGAACTTAGGACTGCAGTCCAGAATGCGCAAGCTTCCTCCGAGCATTGCAAATACGTCAGGGGTTTGGTATGGAACTACCTTTATGTATAATTCTTTTTTGTTATGCTTAATATGGTACTGACGGTGACCGTCTTCATGTGTCTTCACATGGACGTTCTTAACTCATATCACTTCCAAAGTATGGCGAATATGTACCATAAAATGAGAAGCATAAAAGCTGCTTGATAGTGCTTAGTGCTTATATGTTTTTGGGATTTAGAAATCCTTTTATTTGGTCTTCTTTATGACTAGTTAAGCTTGCCTATGAAAAGAATCAGGTTTTCATTTGACAATTGCTTACAAAATTGCAACTAAAGTTTACGGTTCTAGTCCTTTTTCTATTCTTCACTCTCTTTCCTTATAGGAAGCTTAATACAATTCTTTTTGTTTGTGTTTCAAATGCAGCTTGATGAATGGTGGGAACAACCTGCAGCAACAGTTGTGGATTGGGTCACTGTAGATGGTCAAAGTGTTGCAGCTTGGCAAAACCATGTCAAACAGCTTCTTGCCTTTTACGATAAAGAATCATTGCGAACGTAAAGACCCATCATTACCGCTCTCAATTCTCATTATACACAGTGGTGAATCTTATCTTCAACAACAATGTTTGCAAAGTGGGAAAGCTCGACGTGCAATTTGTAAAGAAAATGGTAACTCTTCTTCTCTATTAACAAACCGTTTCTCTTTGTGTTTGTCGATATAGTTCCTCAGGTTTCGTTTTCAAATCATTGCGGGAAATTCATGTGTTTCGCCATTGTGTTATTGGGTTTTGTTAAGTATTTCCGTGTGTTTCTGATTCTCTTAATCAGTCTTGTATCACGAGGTTTGTGTTTCATACATTTGTAGCTAATATGAATCAGTTTTCTGCAATCTTTGTAAGCTTTTTGTTTTTCTAATTTGACGTCAAACTTTGAATGTGAATGTTGAGAAATAGTTTTTGTGTTACCAACTACTTGTTTGTTGTGTACAAGCAACGACCGTGAGGGTTCTGAGGAATAGTCTCAAACATTAAACTCTCGTGAAGATTAGATTATGTTGGACAACCCTTTATTTCAGGTAAAATGGAACCACACCGGAAGAATTATGTCAGGAATATTAGTTGTTACCAAATCCAAATTTAATTAGAATACTGTTTTCAAGCTAGTAGCAACTATAGATATAATCAATTACTAAATTTTCTTATTACATGTGAAATTCAAAGATCAATCAACATAAACAAAGTGATAAATACCAAGCTTTTGTTATTTTGTTCCTTGTCTTCCAAACACTGAAAACAATAATGGCGAATCACGAGACAGAAAAGAACAAAAAAACTTTTTGAAGAAACATGTTTATGTGTCTTATAATATCAGAGACAAAACAACTCTAAAAACAGAGCTCCAAAATGTCTTCTCTTCTCATCCTCATCTTCATTGCCTCAATCATAGCATTCAGTAATTACTCTTCAGTTGCTGCTACAACTCTACCTGACACTGTCCATTGTAACAACAATAACCACTTTTCAGTCTCAGGTATCATCACCAAAAACTGGCTTTAGTATATTTTAAAAACTTTTCTCCTTTCTGTTCTGAGAAGTTGTCTTCTTCCGTGTGAATTTGTGCAGGTGGGCTTGATTGCATACAAGAAAAACCAAGTTTTAGACATGAGACAAAAGGTTATCACAGAGAATTTCAGGTTTTGTGTCCTTTCTCTGAGGTGAGATGTGCAAAGACTCGACGGATTCTTAAACATATTAGGCAAGCAAGAAGAAGAGATCATCAACACAAAAAGAGGAGATCATCAAGATTCCTGCAAAACAAAGCAAATTCAAACAAAATTCCATCAGATAAGAAGTTCTTTTTCCCACATCCATGGTTTCTTCCTCCAAACCCGTTTGCGCCACCACATTCGATTTTTCCACCAAACCCATTTGCGCCACCACCTTCGATTTTCCCACCCAATCCATTTAAGCCGCCGCCACCTTCGTTTCTCCCACCAAACCCGTTTCAGCCACCACCTCCTTCAATATTTCCTCCAAACCCATTTCAGCCTCGTCCTCCGCCACCATCGGTATTTCCTCCATTATTTCCTCAGCCACCTCCCCCTCCATCAATATTTCCTCCATTATTTCCTCAGCCACCTCCTGCTTCTCCACCGTCAATATTCCCTCCAAACCCATTTCAGCCTCGTCCTCCTCAGCCACCTCCTGCTCCTCCATCGATATTCCCTCCAAACCCATTTCAGCCTCGTCCTCCTCAGCCGCCTCCTGCTCCTCCATCGATATTCCCTCCAAACCCATTTCAGCCTCGTCCTCCTCAGCCACCTCCTACTCCTCCATCCTTATTCCCTCCGATATTTCCTCAGCCTCCTCCAGCTGCAGCTTCTCCTCCTCCATCAATATTCCCTCCAAACCCATTTCAACCTCGTCCTCCTCAGCCTCCTCCCACTCCTCCTCCATCGATATTCCCTCCAAACCCATTTCAGCCTCATCCTCCTCTTCCCAGTCCTCCTCCACCATGGTCTCTCTTTCCTCCACTGCCACCGATCTTTCCAGGCTTACATCCACCACCGCCACCACCTCCTCCCCCTCCTCCACCTCCATCGTTTTTTCCATTTCCTCCATTCCCATTCTTACCACCACCACGCAACCCTGGCCCTCCTCCTGCTTCATCTTCTTCAGCAAACAAGCAGCCTCCTTAATCGAACAAGAGTATCATATGTATATACCAAACATTTAGTTGAGAGATGAACTATATGTTGTATATGACAGTCATATTTACATAAGGTTAAAGAATAAAGATGAGTTTTCAACTCCTACAGGATATTTATATTGCATCTGTTCTTGAATCTATAGATCTAGATACTCTAGCTCAAATCAAGCTTCAGACGCAAGAAAACAAGAACTCCTTTCTATCAAATCGAACGCACTACATGATACAGACATGTCAACAAGAGTGTGAGAAAGAGAAGGGCAATAAGTGACATTTCTATTAGACCATATACTTGAAAAGTACCATTACATGGAGCAATCTCTTGTTATGGATTCGTGAATCTTGCTACATCATTCTACTTAGTCTTTACTATATCATGAGAATAGTTGCAGCTCGATAAAAGTAGTGAGTCGCATTTATATACACCAATCTAAACCTACTGATACCCTGGAAAAATGTAACCTGACTTACCAAAAGGAACAAAATTATCAAACAGTGGTCATAAAGAAGAAAATAAATAAACAGATCTTTTATCTTCTTGTTCTCTTCTGGGAATGATCTATATCATTGCAGAAGCTTCTGGTTTCAGTAGGAGAATCTCCTTCTTCATCCGCGATGCCATTACAATTATCCTAATGAAAAAAGATACATAGCATCAATATACAAACTAAAATACATAGCAAAATTTTATAAGAATCACTTGCAGAGTAGTGGACCTCTTTTTCTTTTTATTTCTTTCCACTGTAAAAATGTTACAGGCATACCTCAGAAGCAAAAGCAGCAGAAGAATACTCGCGATCTGCTCTTTTCCGAAGGCTTAACTGCACAGATATCATGGTCTCTGGCATGTTAACACCCGATGACTTAAGTGCTTCAGTTAAAGTGTGTAGTACCCTGTTCAAAAATCAAACCAAAACCAGTATGAGCTTCAATCAAATATATATCCATTTGAAATTTCCTCCAACCCTGAATCTGTTTAAGTACAAAAGCAGTTACGATCTTACACAACGGCGTCACCACCTATTGAGGAAGAGAAGCACTATTCCACAAAGAGAGGCTTTGAATTATGGTTTTGCCAAACTTATTTCTGTAAGTCCTCCTAAGTTCACAGCATCTATGTCATTTCACTCTGTACACTAACCCACACTTCCTTCCGAAAACATGAATTAAATTACGGAACAAACAAAAGCTTTTTTCAGCTACATATTAGTTACCTTTGTGAACAGACGGTGGACAAGCTGGGTGATATAGCCTCGTTTGAGTTGAACAAATCATCTGTATTGCAATTGACTGGTTTTGGTTGCCAAAAGTCATGCTGAACAAACTGCAGCGAAGGCTCGGTTGGTAGATACGATGGAACTGCTGAAACAGGACAGCCTTCAAGAATCTTGGTATTAACTGCTGAGTCGATATCAGGATCCGCGTAATTTTGCATATCCGAGAGCAAACCGGAAGTAGCCGCAACGTTATCATTACTTGAAAAGCTCTTACCGATTTTAGGATGGTCATTGACCTCCACAACAGACCCATAATTATTTCTCTGCATCAAAGTTACATGAAACAGTTGTCAAAAAGACCAAGAAAGATGAAACAGTTAGCACAATAAACCATGTTTCTCTTAAAAAATAACAAAAACGATCAATATAACAGAAAACCAACCAAGGATAGATAGACAAAATCTCAAGAAAAGGCACAAAGCAAAAAGATAGGAGAATGAATATACCCATGGAATCAATTTGGTTGGCCCTTGATCCCACATTTGGTGATCAGATCCTTCATACATGTGAACTTTCTCTTGTAAAAAGTGAATATACTCTATAACCTGATACAACATAAAAGCAAAACAAATTTGATAAAGCATCTAAAACTAAAAACACATGTTCTTGACAAAATTACACATCTTCTCTTCTACCTCCAATAAGAAAGAAGCTTTATCTCGTTTCTGATCATTCTGATTCTGAGGTATTATATCCATTAAACTCTGAAATCTGTATCCACCCACCAAGATTCACAAATTAGGAAACTTTCTGGTCATTAATCACTATTACCCATTTTATAAAATCGGATAAAAATCAAAACTTTGAACATTCTTTATATTACCTTTCATTGATTTTGCTTCTTCTTCGTTGCTCTGTTTCTGAATGTTTCGATCTACACGAGCTTCGATTTCTCCTCCCTGTTGATGAATCATTTCGGGAAGGTAAGTTACTGTATACGTCGGCTTCTAATTGCTCATCGACGTCAGGAGAGTTCATTGTTCGATGGAATCAACACCGGAGATGGTGTAGTGACTAAACTCCGGCGAGCGAGAGACTGATTGATATGTCTCGAGAGAAGGTTGAAAAAAAATTAAAATTAAATAAATAATGTGAAAGACTCAAAAGCCCATTTCAAACGAATAATTTCAGGCCCAACGTTATCATTTCAAACGGGTAAAGCCTTTTAAGTAGTAAGTCAGTTGTTACTTGGGGATTTTATTTGGATATTAATCAGGAATTTATTTTGTAATTTTATTATTACTAGATAATTACCCACGCTACGCGTAGGGTTTGTTTTGAAAATTGTTAAAAAAAAATTATATCGAATGTTCTTGTTGCTAATTTATGTTTTTTTTTGTTTGTTTGTTATCGTGTAGTTAATAAAATTAGATCCATCTTATGTAGTTACAATTTTTGTGGTTACAGTTATTTTTGACCCGAAATATCAATTTATGTATTTTCATGTATAAATTTGATTTTTTATATATCTAAGATCCTAATATTTTTCATTATCATGACTACATACAATAATAATATAGGATATTTTGATACAGTAATATATAATTATGTTACTTGTGTGGTTTGAAACCTGTCTAACTTAATTATAAAAAAAAATTCATTGATCTATTAACTCTCCTGATCTAGTGCCCCGACCACATCATAATAGGCTTATGATTAAATACTGGATTGACATAATTTGAACAAAATTTGAAGAGTTTTCATATGAAAAAAAAAATAAAGCAAAAAATTAAAGAGTCATTTATCATCACTTTTAGATCTTCTACTATTGCATATAGCCACATAAAATATATAGTCGTGTCTTGAATTCCTTAGTATGTCTAACATCTCAAAGATTTAAGGTAAAATTATTAAACTAATAAGATTGCATACAACACATATTTATCGTATATGAACCATAAAACGTAATAATGAAAAAAGATTTAAGATAAAATTATTAAACTAATAAGGTGTTAGGGAGCAAACAACTAAACTACAACACATATTTATTTTTAGTTATTAGTCACCATTGATAAAAAGAAAAAAAAAATTAGTAAAATAAGAAGAGTAAAATGAAGAACTTTATAATTTTATAATTTTATAATATTAACATAATTTTATAATTTTCATATTTTGAAAAAATAAGTTAAGAGTAGGATTTAAGAGGATTTAATGCAATAAAGAACTTTTGTTTTTTTCATTTAATTTTGCAAAAAAATTTTATTTAAATAATGTAAAATGACACATGTCATTTGCTTGTGTGATGATGTGGCACTTATATGGAGAGAGTTGACCAACTTTCATATATATGATTCGAATATTATATAATGAAAATAAACCCAAGATATTGCTTGGAAGCCACCGAAAGGGGAATGGATGAAGCTGAACACGGATGGTGGATCACATGGTAACCCCGGCTTGGCGACGGCAGGAGGAATTTTGCGGGATGGTGCTGGCCGGTGGTGCCGTGGATTTGCGTTGAATGTGGGTATATGTTCAGCTCCCTTAGCTGAATTATGGGGGGTATATTATGGACTATACACTGTTTGGGAAAGGAACTTCAGGCGGTTGGAGTTAGAGGTTGATTCAGCAGTGGTGGTTGGTTTTTTGACGTCTGGGATTAGCGAGTCGCATCCTCTGTCTTTCCTGGTGCGATTGTGCCATTGCTTCTTATCAAGGAACTGGATTATCTGAATTTCTCATATGTATAGGGAGGTTAACCGTCTTGCCGACGGATTAACTAACTATGCGTTTTCATTACCACTAGGACTTCATTTTTTAGAGACTATCCCACTTTCTGTGGTGACGATTGTAGAAGATGATGTTCGAGGAACTGCATTTCCAAGGCATGTCCAAATTTAATTGTATTTTTTCAGTTTATTAATAAATTACGGAGAGACATTGTCTCCCTCTAGCGCCCAAAAAAAAAACACAAAATATAAAATAAAAGGTATTATGAATTCGAAGGAGATTTTTTTTTAATGTACATAGAAAAATAATGGGTGAGTTGGCAAACTACCAATATCCAAGGTTTGATGGTGATTTGCGTTAGCAAGTGGCTTAGATGATCGATTCCGCCACATTTTTATTAGGTGTCTAGTGGTTTTATGTCGTCTTCTTATATGACAAGATTTACCATTGTAGTCTTGTAGAGATTAATGAGTGTCCGCGCTATAGCTACCGGGCAGGATAAGAAAATCCATGGACGCATAAAACGCTACAAAGAAAGCACAATCCTATTCTTTAAGATATGATGGTTGTCACATTTCATTCATGATCATTACTATAAGAATACATTCATTTCATCAATCAAATATTACAACTTAGGAAATTCAACCCTAAGAGTTTAATTCTTATTTTTAGGCTATGATTTTGAAATTCAAAATTGAAAAAAAAAAAAAAAAAAAAAACATTCTGAGCATAGATTTTAAGATGAATATCGTTTAGAAAGTGTGACTCGAAGACCGTGCTTCATGCGAAGAATAGGACCAGGAGCTGGTTCAATCTTTTGGCCTTCAACAACTTGAATATCATAGTTTTGTAATATCTCCATGACCACTGTCTTCATTTGAGTCATAGCTAACTTCTTACCCAAGCAAGCTCTTGGACCCGCATTAAACGAAAAGATCTTGGTGGAAGGAACTTCTATCAACCCTCCTGTCATTGAAACCCATCTCTCCGGCTTAAATTCCAATGCGTCGTCTCCCCATATTGCTTTCATCCTCCCCAACGCGTAAACAAAGATTAAAATCTTCATACTTGGGTCCACTTCATGCCCACTTGGAAGCTTATCTTGTTTTACTGGAGACAAACGCTCGAATGGAACCGGCGGGTAAAGTCTCATTGCTTCATACAAGGAACCATGTAAATACACTAGTTTGTTCAAGAAATCTATAGAAACATCATAAGACGGCCTCTCTAGGCCACCATCACCACCAGTGGTTACTCTTGACAGATTTATATTGATCTCTTGGCGAATGTTAGCGACAACTTGAGGGTTTTCGGACAAAAGCCAAAAGAACCAAGTGAGAGCAGAAGCAGTGGTATCTCTCCAGGGCCGGTCCTAGAAATTGGGGGGCCAAAGCAATAAAATATTTTTTTAAAGTTATTATAAACAGTTATAAAATTTGGGGGCCTTTTCATAAAAATCATTTTTTTTGGGGGTCTATTTGCATATATTTTCTCTTGCTAAATTTCTAAGAAAATTTGGCCGGCCCTGTATCTCTCCCCACTAGAATGAAAGCTAACATGGTGTCTCTAAGAAACTTATCATCGTTTGGGTTCAAGAGCTCGTACTTGGTTGCATCTAGCTTCATGTGGGATGTCAAAAGGTCATCCCCTTCATCATTAAAATTGTGAGTAAAATCTTGTGATCTTATCTCTTCTCTCTTATCTAATATAAACTTTGCACACATTCGATTTAAAGTGGCGTCAGCTTTGGACAACTTCTTCTCTTGTCCAAATCCAATCCTTCTTTGCAACTTCCACAAAAACTTTGGTTTAACATGCCTATACATAATCGCTTCTCCTACATCGTTGAGAGCTTTAGCGAACTCATCCACCTCTGACATTTCAATGGATAAAGATCTAGGATCATCACACCCACTTACTGTCATTAATGTTGTGTCGAACATGAACCTCCCGAACAAGTCCTGCAAGTCCACGACCGTTTCTTCCTCCGCTATCTTATTGAAAAAAGGAACAAGCCCATCATTGAGTTTTCTTCTCGTGGTACTCATTGACAACCTTTGAAACCTTTGGTGGTCGACCATGGCTTTAGAAGCTTTCCTCAGACTCTTCCATAGCTTCGAATCCGCGGTGAGTATCCCGTCTCCAAAAACATCAAATACTTCTTTGAAGTCAGGACCTTTGGTGTAATTTGAAGAGTATGAGTTCATTATTTGACGAATATTTTCTTGATCAACCGTGAACAACATATCCATTCCAAAATACCACGGGCCCTTGAATGCAAACGTCAAGTTAGACGCCTCGAGATTCTCTACGCTAAAGTCATAGATCCGATGGAACTCCATGAGCAGACCAGGAAGCATGCCAAGAACTGGCCAGTTTCTAAGAAAGACTTTATTATGAGGATTCTTGAAGAGGTAGAGACAAAGGATAAAGATGATAGAGGAAAAGATGGCTATGGAAGCTTCACCTAAGCTTATTGAGGCCATTGAAAATTTGGAGTTTGACTGAATGATCAAACTTGTGATGGTTTCTTTAGTGTAGAAGGAAACTTGAGTTATATATATATGAATGATTTATACAGTTTTGGTTAGATCATGAATGTGTCCTCAGTAACCATGGTTAGTTCAAGTCTATGACTTGCCCCCATTCTCTATGTATTGTTTTGGGCTTAATTCTCTTTTCACCCATAGCCCATTAAACATCTTACAAGAGGATTTTCAACTGAGATAGAAATAGGACATGTCCCTTTTAGGACGGTAAGCCGGTAAGGAAAAGAGTCGGAAATGGGTTCCGGATTCTTTAATTACGCATTACATAAGCGGAGAGGAAATTGAAGATAAGGTACATAGTGATTTATGGGGGATGCACGAAGTAGGTGTGCAATGAAAAGACAACGACCACGGTTTGACTATATATAAAGAAACAATAATCAAATCAATTTATATGATCACGTTCTTTTTAGGACCATTTTTAGGTTAGAGAGAGAAGTGAGCTCAGATTTCGGATTAACGATTCATGTAATTTTCTCTACTATACAAACAGTTGATATCAATTTCTAGATTTTAAATCATTCATTTATAGGATTGAAGGTACGTACATAAAAAGATAAACAGGTTGTGATTTGTAGGGATCCACGAATTAGGTGTAACCTATGTTTAAAAATTTGCTAGGCGCTAATCGAGTGGCCGACATGGGTGATGTGAGTCCCACTTTTATTGATTTTTGGAGTTGTTTTAACAGTGAATCTTGAGTGTTTTCAATAACAACAAGATGATTTCCGGTGATTTTGTTTACTTTTTGTTGTTTTCAGGTTTATATGTCAAGAGAAAAGAGGAAGTTCTAGAGAAGAAATATATAGATCATTAAAACGTCAAGTAAAGTGAAGATTCAAGATGAACAACCGATCGACATATACTTGTAACTGATCAATAGTAAAGACGCCAAGAACCGATCAGTACAAATCTGTATCTCATCGGTACAAACCTGTAACCGACCGGTGCTCACATAAATGATGTTTCCATTATCCGAATTTAGGATTTTCCTCTTGTACTATTTGTTAAAGCATACATGACAAGCCCATGTATTTTCTATCTACTAGCCCATCTAAAACCCATGTATTTAGGTTTCTAACAAGTAGACTCATTATATATATATAGTAGATTCTCTCTCTTAACGCTATCTTCATCCTTCAGAGAGAGAAGGTGATTTCCGGTCTACCGGAAATTTCTTTTGTGTCTTATAAATAGTTTTCCGATCTATTCGGATTTCTCTTTCTTCTTAGTCAGTTTAATTTCGTCTTAGTTTATTTCGCTTGTTGACTAAGATAGAACTATATTTCTTTTGTTCTACCCTCTCTTTCTACAGAAAATTAATCTCTATGCCGTTTGCTCTTGATTGGATTAGCCATCAACTTGATTCTTCTCTCAAGTTAGAGTAATATCTTCGCTACTAAATCTTCGTCGTTTGTGATCGAAGTGGACCTCATCTTTAGGTCTTAGGCGGAGCTTCTTCTTGGAGTATGGATTGAGTTGTATAAATTCCCTAGGTAACTCCAATTTTAAAGACAGCGGTTATAACTGTAGAAGGATGGTTCAAAGAGTATGATTTCAAGCTTCCACCTCTAAGTTAACGTCTTCATCTGGTTTGCCAGCACAAAGAAGCGGTTATAAGCAATCAATTTCTATCAAGATCGGCACCGGAGTAAAGAACGGTGGTGAGCAATCAATGGTGTTCCATTGGTTTTCTCGCAACATCTGACGTGTGGACCCTACTATGTGTTGTATCTAACACGTGTCTTATGTATTTGGGTTCATTTGGGCTTAAAAGGCTTGTATCTACTCTTGTATCTTGCTCATTATGAGCTTTCGTTTATAAAACGAGTTGCCGACAAAAAAAAAAATATATATATATAGTAGATTTTACTACACCGCGGGTCAATTTTTTAACTAAAAAATTAAATTTTAAAGTGTATTTTTTAATATTGTTTATTTTATTAAGTGTTTAAGATTGTATAATTGTATTTTGATTATTAATTTTAAGATTTCATCCGTGATATTAATACCGTCCCGTATTAATATCGATCCAAAACCCGTCCCACTATATAACCCTCCCGTGAAATTAAACATCATTTTGTTATTTTTAATAATATTTTATTTAATAGACATATAATTCGAGTCAATTTAAAAGTTTGATTATATATATACTAGATATGGACCCGTGCGTTGCACGGGTTACCGGTCAAATTTGTTATTTTTAAATTCTATTTTTGTAAGTTTAACTAAAATTATATAAAAATATGTTTTAATTTTAGTAAATATAGTACTTTAATTATTTTAAATATATATTAATTATGCATAATGTGCAATATAAAATACCATTTTTAGTTTTGTTTATTATATGTTACAATATGATATATATTAAATATTCATATGTGTATTATTGAATTTTAATAAATTATCTACATCCATCGGAAAAGTGTATAACACTTTCTAATTTCAATGCAGGCAAGATAGAAACAAAACTGTGACAATATGAGGCAGTGTATATCCACATCATGTAACTTTACTTGATAATATGATAAATCCTCAAAACAAAAGACAAATTCATAAGGAAATAGGGAATGTGCACTAAATAACCTAAGACTCAAAAAAAATTCAGAAAATAATATTAACTAAACAATGTTTATTTGCTATATGGTTTTTGTCAATTTTTGGCCCATATTACTCATGACTTCTTTGTTGTCTCTTTTTTCTTTCCTCTCGCTAGCGAGAATTCTCAAATCTCTCTTTTTCTCTCATCAGATTTCTCTTATTTTTGCTCGATCTTCTCTTTTTCTTTCTCTCACTCTCGTTGGATTTCTTCACCATCATATATTTTTTTCTTTTCCATATTACTATTTCTCTCATTCGTCGGGCATCACCACCGAGTCTCACTACTCCGACCCATCAGACCACCACCACAACTGAATCTCAACTATCACAATCATCAATACTAAATCTGGCTAATTCCAACCCACCACCTTCATCAATATTTACCGCCACCACCACCAAGCTTGAAGCACTTTCATCAACACCAACACCACCGTTACCGCATCTTCCCCTCTTTCCCCAACTACTCTTATTTCTCCACCTTCTTTATCTCCTCCGACATCGAGTCGAGCTTCTCCGACAACAACTCTATTTTATGTCCATCGGCGTTCATAATTCTTAATTTTCTTCCATCGCCATATATTATTAATTTGTCTATATATCTATTTGTTTATTTATAGAGGTGAATATTTGGAATCTTTTTCTTCTACGATTAATAGTTAATTATAAAATTTCTTTAATTATTATATTATACAATAAAATTGTATAATTTCATAAATCTTTTTTAATTTTAAGGAAAAAGTAATCTTTTTCTTTTAGAATTAGTAGATTTAAATTAGAATTAGTAAATAATTTTTTAATTTCTATTTTTATTTAATAAGATACATATAGTTTCTTTATAATTATCTTTTTTTACTTTTTAATAATTGTTTTTTATATGATATATATGTATAGTTGCCTTATAATATTTTTTCTTAAATTTCTATTTTTATTTCATAAGATACATCTAGTTGATAAATTTGACATGTGCGTATAGTTTCCTTATATATATTTTTAATAAATAAAAGAAAATTTTTGTTTAACACGTGTCAAAATCTGAGATCGATAAATTTGACACGTGGCATGATCCTATGAGTTATTAACTTTGAAAACCATACTTTATATAATAAGATATATATATATATTTTTTAATTTTAGTTAGTAATAATTAATTCTATATAATGATTTTTGAATTAATTGTGTATGACCGACGGTCAAGATTGAAGATTAAAAACCGGATTAAGATTTGAATGGCCACGATTAAATGTAGGGATTTTTGAGATCTTTTAAGAAAATCGAATTGAATATGGATGTAATTGTGGCAAGGATTAGTTATGCTTAATATATTAGATTAAAATTTGGAAATGATTTTTTATGTTAGTATCTTTGATTTAATTTTGAAAATCTAAATAATTAATATCAATGACATTTGATCGTAAATAAGTTAGAACTCCAAGATTTATTTCATAAATGTCTCCAAAAATGTATATATCAATGAGTATAATGAACATCAATTTGGGTATCTAGGGTTGTCGGAAGTGCAACCTCTATATCACTCTTAATTTCACCTTATAAGAAAACAATTTGAGTGTTCTTGGTGATTGTAAATAGTTTTCGTTTTTGCTTTTCTGTCTTTTAAATAAAGCTCATTTGAGCTAAAATCACTTGTCTTGAAATCTCTTCACTATTAATTGGTGTCTCGACTTTCAGAGATATCAGAGACGTTCTATTGCGATATTGCTTAGTTTTAAAAGGTTTAAGGATAAGAATTTACTCTCATACTTTTGTAGAGAAGAATTCTAAACCCTTTTATCTTTATTTGCAATTTTAATATGAATTTCGTATCAATCTCTTGTTATGTTTCTCTGTCCATGTGTGAATAGTTCTTTTATTAGGTTATTTGGTTTTCTAAGGGAAATTTATGGAAGATTTATGTTACGTTGATTTGGGAATTGATCATATAATTCTTCATCTAGGTATGCTATTCATGATTAATCTATTTTGGCCATTTAGATTCTGCCCTAAGTTGATTTCATCGTGACACCAAAAGTGTTGGTTAAATCAATCAATTTAGTCTAGATGGGCTAAGTGTCCTTAGCCAAGAACAATTGTTGTTATTGCACTTTGTGAACATATCGAATTTGGATCATAATGCTTACTTGAATTTCTATTGTCAAACGACAATTTAATTTCTAGAAATTGTCGATATTTAATTTATAGATAGTTATTTCATAGGAAAGTAAGATACCTTTACATTTGGAATTTGAGTTTGAGAACAATACTTAATGCATTCCCATTTTTTGTCTTGCATTTATTCCCTGAACCCCAAAAGATTTCCTTTAGCCCAATGTTTCTTATAATTGATTTTACAACTTTGTTTAATTTTTTATTGAGTTACAAAGCAAAACTCCTTTTCATCTCAGCTTAATTTAAATTATCATAGTTTATCTATGTTGATCCTTGCGGATATGTGCTTATAGTAGGATATTTAGGACTAAAATTTGATTACAACAATGGACGATTAATCGGGAACTAGTTTTAAACATTATTTTAGTAAATTTAATATTAATTAGAACATATATATGATGTCAAATTTACATTATTGCATGCAAATCTTTTTTTGTACAACCTTAGATATATATTATTTTGATATAAATTTCAATTAAAATTATCTATATTAATGGCACATCCCACAACGGTTGTCGGCAATTTTGTAGTTTATTTGCGTCTAATTATATGAATCGGCTATAAAATTGCAAACGATTATTTTCCAAAAGAAGTAAACTATAATCGTTGCGGATGAGTCCCAATGAGAAGGTAGCCATCCATTTAATCGGCTAGGCGCTCGAGATTTTGAACAAAATGTCTGAATAGGAAAAGACAACGAACATGGTCGATTATATAAATAAAATAATCATATGCAATTAAAATAAAATAAAAACTTCAACTTTTTTATTTCTTTGAAAAAAACTTCAATTTTGTCTTCAATGACATATATATATCCACTTTTGTTGACTTCTCTATTTAATCGCAAACTTTTGTGACGAATTAATTAACGGTTCCATGAAATAACTTAACAGTGTAACTAATTTGACTCAATAAACAGAAGTTAGTGATTAAAATGTAAAAGTCAATGAAAGTGGGGATATTTTTAACAGTCAAATGGTTGGTGTTTTTCAAATATTTTGAAAGTTGGAGATTTTTTTTAACATTTTCCAATCTTTTTCATTGAATTAAAAGTTATTGTATCATGTTTTATCTTTATCTTGAGTATCTTTAAAGCTAAGATAGTATTTCAATATTTTTGCTTTCTTTTCTACTTATTTTTGGTTTTAAGACAGGTTAAATAAAAAAAAATAGTTTCTAACCGATTTTGGACACTTTGAGTGCAAAAGATGATAAGACAAACACTTGATTTTCTTTGCAGGATTGATAGAAGCAAAAAAAGACAAAGAGCGATCGATAGCCACTAGAGACTGATCAGTACCTCCTACGAATCAAGATTTCCTTATTAGGATTTTCTCTGTTATTTAAACTATGTCTCGATTTTCAAATATCTCACCTTATTTTCTACCAGTTTTATTGCTATAGTAAGTTTGGTCAGATGAATTTTAATTTTGTCTCCCATATCTTTTATGCTTTGATAACTACCATTGATGCTTCCTCTTACTTTCAATCAATAAGCAACTTCAACAGTGTTTATCAAATGGTGTCTCAACGCCAAGTGTCTAACAAGTCCAACTTCAAGTCCAACCTCAAGTCACTTAAGAGGTACACATTACATCCCCATGTAATGTTTGCCCTTTCATAGGTTTGGGTTTTGTAATTTTCTATACATCCATTTGTCTTGTCTCTTAACTATTGTTTTGTTTCATTTTCAGATTCTTACCATCTCTGATTTTGAAATTTATTTATTTAATTATGGTTTTTCATCAATTGTTTTCAGGTTAAATTGGGTTTAGGATTTTTATGTTTGGTAGATTTCTAATTGGGTTTAGGATTCAACGAGTTTTTCATGATGAATTGATGTTAGGTTGTTAGATTGGGATTGATCTCTTTGTTTTTCATCTATGTTTGTTCGTATTTGATGAATATTTTTGTCTAGTTTCTAATCTTAGGTTTAATTCACGCATCAAAAATGTTGTTGAATTTTTTGAAATGACATAGGTGATTAAACTGATTTTAGCCAACTAGAGTTGTAGTTAAGGCGCTTTATGAATAAATTAAACTTGAACATTTCTTGTTTGATTTCTTACATTCAAACTAGAATTTA